TTCCTTCTGAATGTGAGGGAGAACCTCTTTACTGTGAGGGTGATGGAGCGCTGGAACGAGTTGCCCAGGGAGGTTGTGGAGTCTCCCCTTTGGAGATACTCAGAACCTTCCTGGACATGATCCTGTGCAACGTGCCAACCTCAGACACTCAGACTGACTCTGATTTTTTTCACAGAATTTATTTAAGTGAATTCAGAAATGATGTGTAAATATAGCCCAATTATTTGAAAATCATTCTTAAAATGCTACTGTTTTACAGTAAGCATGTGTCAAACCTGCCTGTTTTAAGAAACAATGTAGGCAAATGTCTGAGTATTTCTCTGTATTAGATTTAAGCAGAAACCTAAACATGGTTACAAATCTATTTGGGGAAAAATAGAAGCACATAATTGATTTGACACAAGATATCAACTACAGTTTATTAAATAATAGCAAACTGTCTGGAAAAAGTGGCACATTAAGATAGGGAGATTTCTTACCCTCTTATTCGTGAAAGTCTTTTGTCAAAACTGAAGTGAGTTCTTGACTTGAGATGTTTCCAAATAACATGAGAGAACATTGTTAGCTTGTTACATCTGAAAATAATGATCTAAATGTCACTGAAATCTTCTATCCTTTGTTTTCTAGATAAGCTATGTGTGTATGTTAGATTAAGGAATATATTTTAGTGTATAGGGATTGAGGCCACAGTACTCTTCAGCTTATCCTTTATGACACATCCCATGTCATGCCTTTGTAGAGGGCAGTAGCTTAATCTCTTAGTGAAAAGTTACCTGCACAAGAGTGTCCCGAAGATCAACTTTCATATCATAAACAAATGGAAGAAAATCATTAATTTTTTAAGTCTTCAATTTTGTAACTGAACTTTAACCGCACATGTTGATGTTTTTATGCTAAAGTATCACAATTTACCATCACTTCCATTTTATCCTTGTCGTTTTTGTTTTTGTTTTGGTGTGTGTGTGTTTATGCCTTATAAGCCAAACTTTGGGGCTAATTACTCATCTGTTTTATCTGCATTACTGGAGATGGTGACCAGCTCAGGCACTGTCATTATACTGAAATTGTACATCTGTCCTTATTAGTATAAAAAGCAGAATGATTAAAAGCAGTTGTATAAATAAATAAATAAACAAAAAACAACAACAATCCAAAACCTATCTTACTCTTGTTGGACTCTGTCTTAAAGGAAATTTTATAGTGTATGTTCCTTCTGTGTTGCTGAGGAGCCACACTTAAAGTAATCATAGGTCCTCATTGTCAGTGAAGTAAGTCTTCATTTGCAATGAAATCCTCTTCTTGAAGCAAGAGGAAGCTTCTGATTCTAAAATTACATTAAACGGTTTAGTATTCAACTGCTTTGAGACTAACTTGACTTAGGAGTGCAAATAAGGATTAAAGATCCTTGTACATGTGGCTGAATGATCTGCTGTCACTTCATACTCAGTAGTTCTGTGAATATGCACATTTTCTGTTATCCTTGACAGATTGTGCTCAGAAACTAGAGAAGCAATTTCATGTGAAGTGTCAGTATCTGAGACTACAAATGTTACTAAGTGGTAAAGCTGAAAGAAAAAAAATAGCATAGCAGAGTACAGACCTGATTTCCCCAATATACACACGTTATGTGAAGAATTCCCAAACTTATTGGTTTGTGTTCTGAATTCTATGGTAGCACACAGCTGCTTACTACAGTTGTGCTGATCACATATGTAACATCCCTCATAGGAGTTGCTTGTATGTGTAAGTAGAAATGACCATTATTACCTCCTGTATGGCCTACCCACCCAATAAGTTGTGTACTCCATCCGTTTCCTTTATCTGCCTAGTTTGTGTTCTTCATCCTGAATCAGCAAGCTTCTATGAATCCCTGTAGCTTGTGGTTTCAGAGCTTGCAGTTGTGGGGTTCAGTCCATCTACACTTTATATGGTCTTTTGTTTCAGTAGAGGCTTGGCTTATGGAGCATCCAGGCATATTTGACACTGGGAAGCTAAACAGTATAGCAGGTGCCCCCCATCCCCACTGTAGCTTTCACCTTATTAACCATATCCTTTGTTCCACTTCTGTCTGTCTACCCCATTCTAACTCACTTGGGAGATGTCAAGCAGATCAAAACAAAAAAAAAAACATCTCATGGCACCAAGACAGAAGTTTTAATTTATCTGTTGAGGTGGAGGATACCAGTGACTCAGTAAGCAAAGGAGGTTTTCAGAACCTACAGGTAGTTGAACATTATTACCTTCTCAAAAGTAATGCTGCCAACAGCAGCAGCTTCTTGCTAATCAGTGTCATGCTGTGAGAAGATAAAATTGGCCATAGGGATGCAAGCTAAAGAACCTTCTAGATCAGAATCCAAAGGTGGTGACCTCTTGCCAGCCTACAGGGCTGTCTGACCTGTTGGTGATGTGGATTTGAGAGTGCTGCTACTCTGCATCTCCTGCTTCACCAACACCCAGGCTCTCATTGGCCTGACCAGCCCATAACTCTCTCTGCAGTCTCCTGTTGTAGGTACCTTTTTTTTTTTTTCCCAGTGTTGGGAGTTTAACACTGTGTTCACAGCAAGCTCTGCTTTGGTGCAGCTGTATAAATTTGGATCAGACTGTGAAAACAACTAAATTTGGGGAAAGACGTGAGAAACCTTGTCTGGGACCTCCATTCACACACCTCTGCCCACTAACTCTAGAGCAGTATCAAAGCTTGGGTCCCTGTCTTTGTCTTTTGCCCAAATTGTGCCATGGGGATGTTGTGTCCGGCCTTGCTGGCTTCCTCCCTTGGTCTCAGATTGGCCTTGTCCTTGTGAACCTGTCTGGTGATTCCTGGACTATCAGCTGAACCTGTTTGTCATCAGCAGACCTCTTGACTACCAGGGGACTGTTCCCCTAATCAGCAAGGCCACCCACCTGTGTGCCTTGCTGTCACCTTTGGCTCCTGGCTTCAAATCTTTGCAAAGCAGCCTATTCGTGATGCACCCTGTTAGTTTTATCACAAGTAGGTAAGAGCTCTTCTCCTAATGGAAACTCATCCTCCAAGCCTCAAAAGGGATAAATATTGCACAGTTATGTGAAGGGGATAAAACAGTGTGATCCTGCATTGCCAGACTACCTGTGTGGTGCTGTAGAATTTGGCCTGGCTCATTCACAGCCCTGAGACACAATCTCAGTGTAACAGTGGGACTTGCTGAAGGCTGCGGTGGTCAGTCTGGACAGCACTCTTGAACACATTCTAATGTAACTGCAGATGCAGAAGGTGCTAACCATTGTGAAGTTATCCAAACCAGCATTAAATCCAGAATATTATTTTTGTATGCGTTTAGTTGGTTTAGTTTGCATATCTCACTTGCCTTATAAAACATGTGTGGCAATTTAAAAAAGCTGAAGTGCTGCATCTGGCAAGATACCAGAGTATGATCTTTTATTTCTCTAAAGTATGTTTTTATAATTGTATATATTTCTCTCTCTTATATTACAACTCATAGCTATTGCAATTTCCACCCCAAATGATAAGTTAGAGAGAATTAAACATTAATGGATCTTTTTGACTTGTATCACACATTGACAATATTATTTTCTTTGTACCATATGTTTACATATTAATTAATACGTATGCATAAAAACTTTACTTTCTAAAATACAGTTACTTTATCAGAATTGTTCCCTAGGAGGTAAGTCCTGACTCTTAAAAGTGTAAAATAATTCTTACGTTTGCTGAGTACCTATTTCCAAAGGGAGGGTTGTGAAATATCTGCGTCATAGCATTTTTCATTAAGTTGATATCAGCTCAAGAATTAAAAAATTATTTCTGCATGAAATAGATAAGATTTTTTTTTTTTATTCCTTCTGGAATATTTTAAATAGATGTATTGGGCCATCTGCTTTAAGGCTGTATACACCTTAAAGAAGTCTCTTTTGGTGTAATCTATTCAAATACTTTACTAATATCCAGTGCTTGAACAAAAACTCAGTTTTTCAGTTTGCTGTATTAGGACTTTGATGTCATGGTACCTTTGGTTGCCCTTAAAAGAAAGAAGAAAAGAACACTTGCTAGTTGTACAAGTGGATTTTTGGTTAACTGCATGCTAAGTAATTTAGGAAACATTTAATAACGTTAAATTTAGTTATAGAAAATTAAGGGATTATATGGTTTGAGATTTTTCACATATCTTTATTGCAATATTAGTACATGGAGTTTTACTTCATCCTCCACTGGATGATTGCTGTGTTTTGCCAGCAGTTGGAGATGGATGCAGGAATAGGCAAAGATAATTGGCCTACGATGCATTTGCAGCTACTAGTGTTTCTTGTCTTATTTTTTTCATATATAATTGAGACAAAGCTTTTTGCTTTATTTACAGGTAATCATAACAGTTTTCAGCAGTTTAAGTTCCCATCCACTGTCACATGCAGATTTTAATTGCATCTATACCTTTGAGCTGAAAGTATCACCAGTTTGTTGAAAGGGTAATACAGTACCTCTATTCATTTAGTCCCTGATGATCCTGACACTAAATGTGAGCCGGTGTTACGTTCTCTTGACAGACTTGTTGTACTAACGTGTTGGTGCTGAGACTAGAAAAATCAGTTCACGTACATTGTGGGACTGCTGTAGGCTTTGAACAGCAACAAAGCTCAGTTAGTGCTTAACTAGGGATGATGATTAACATTGTTCAGAATCCTGAGCAAGGTGCCCTTATACAGGGGCAAAGCAGCCTGTAAGCAAAGGCTTTCCTAAAAACAGTAATATAAATCTGTTTGAAATTATGATTTTAGGGTATAAGAAGCAGTAATAATGCGGGTATGATTCGTTTAGCATACTGTAAAATTTTCATTCCCAGGAGAGGTACATCAGCAACATCTTCATCATTTAGTCATAGACCAAGACTACTGTCAGGCATTTCTTCAGCTCTGTGAGATGTGTCTGAATTAATCCTGTATTTCCCATATATTTTATGAGATTGCAACATACACAGAATTGCTCATTGTTTGTGGTTGAGGTGAAGTCTTGAGAGGCAAATAATCTGAAAAGTTTCAGTAGTAGGGTGGGAAGTTCCTTTTCATTCTCCTGTGTTTGTCTGGAGGACTACATAACAACAAACCATCTTTTGTTAGTCTGGGAATGCCACTTTCCAGAAATGTAGTGTGTGTCTTGATTTATTTTATTTCTTTTTCCCCTGGGGTGTCATAATTTCTGACTAAGAGGTTAAAAAGTAAAAGTATTGCTTCTATTCTTTATTTACCTGCTGTGTATTTGAGAACTTAACTTCTTTGTGATAGCCTTAATGGAAACTGTGCTGGAGTAGGACTGGTGCTGACACTGAGGTGCATAGTGGTGTTGAGGGAATACTGCTCTTTTAAAACAGACTAATGCTGACCACCAACACCGAGTTAATATCTGACACTTCAGGCTGCTCTTTTCTCACTTTGCTTTGTTTATTTGTTGGCTGAACAATTCTAGCTTTTGCATTTGTTGTATTAATAACTGGGGAAACAACTCATTAATCCAGTCCAGAAGGGCATGGGTTGTCCGGGTTATAAGCTTCTTAGGGAATTGGGATTTTTATTTTTGTTCTCTGGAATCTCTTGAGGATTTGATAGTTGCTGTAACCACACAGCTGGAAAGCTTTGTATGATAATGTCCTAAAGAGCACAGCTGATGCAATGTGCTGCTGCAGTGCTGAATTGTGGTGTGAACAATACATCTTTTATTCCCCTTCCCACCTCTTTTTTTTTTCCTTGGTACACTGCACTGTCTGACATGAAACTCAGGAGCATACCAAAAAATTATAATTAGCTGCAGAAGGAATAAATAATCAGATCTATGAGACTATCCTGAGGGAGAGAAAAGAAGCATTCCGATGAATTAGGGAAAATCAGGCTTTCTACATTTCCCAGCCCCTGCGGCGAGCCTTTCAGGCTCTGCTGGCTGTGATGGAAATACAGTGCTTTTGTGGGTTTTTGTTTGTTTGTTTGTTTTTTTAATGTTGTTAAACATAGGATGTTCTTCATTTGCAAAGGTTGTGACCACTCCTCCTCTGCCAGTTGAAGCCACTCCCTACATAACCCAAACACGTTACACTCCATGATTCTGAAGGTATTTTACATTTTAACACTAGCTTTTGTGCACTGAACCACATTTCTTACAGACAGTACATTTTGAGGGGGGGAGAGAAAAAAAATCTTTTTTTTTTTTTTTAGGAGGCAAATAAGAATGATTCAAACAGCACCTCATTTTCAGAGCTCAGAAGCACTGTAAAATCAAGCTTGAAACACTGACCAGCTTTAATTTAAAATACAGCAATATGTAATTCATTAATTGTTTTAGTGCTGGTTTCTGTGTTCCAGTTCAGAATCCTATACATAGATAGCATGTAAATTGCTGCTAGCAGCATTCAGATTATATGTTTAAGAATTTAAAGCTTACTGGTATAGAATCATGTCATAGAGTTCAGATCTGATCTCTGGGTAGCTTTTAGTTTCGAATAAAGTTTAGCACTGAGCTCATCATGCTTGCATATATTCAGGTTTTGTATTTTTAGTTTCAACTGTGCCTTCTGTCATGGCTTGGATGACTTACATTTCCCACTGGTTTGATGAAGATGATTGGTATGAAGGACAACAACGAGTAAGATTTGTTTAAATTAATATTTTTTCTTATCTTCATTGTTTCTCTTCTTTGTGCTGCTGTTTATTACATTACTAGCACCAAAATTAATGTTTCCATGGTACTAAGAAGGGATTTTTTTTAGTACTTTTATTGGGATCTAGAATCATAGATAATGACATCAAAAATGATTTTAAGATGTTTCTAGCTGGATGAAATATATTGGAAGTTCAGTGGACAGCTGTTTGTATTTTTAGTTTGCATAATTTAATGACTAGAACCCTTTAATATCTAATGAGATAGAAATCGAGCACTTAAGCTTTTTGTATGAGGAGGAAATAATATACTGTGCATGGAATAAACTAATTATAGGCGTTAATTGAATAAAACCAAGCAAAATTGGGGGAGATGAAATTCATCTAGGTTCATTTCCAAGTTGTACCTTGGATATTTGTACATTTTTTTTCCTAACATTTTTTCTGAAGAGGAGGAGTGGTTACTATAGCAACATTTGCAGGATATCTTGAATTCCTTTTATGTTTATTAACTGCATGCCTTGGGCAAGCTTGATCTACTGCTGCTTTCATAGATTTAGGGTGAGAAGTGAACATAAGTCTCATTTCTTGCACTGTATTAAGCTCCTTTACATAACCATGTATTTTTGTAATTTCTATTCCTCATTTTGATAGTATGTTCTTAGCTGTTGAATCAGAATGCAGATGATGCTACTGAAACATAAGGGACAGCAGCTTTTTTAATTGTATTGTCATGTATCACTTGGTAATGTCATTTATATGTTCGTAAATATTTAAAAACTAGCAGATTTTTAATGCTTTTTCAACTGTTGTAATTTTACATGTCTCTTACCATATGAATGTCTCAGATGTAGAATAATCTGTTAATTGGTGCTCATCAGGGACTTGGATGTGAGATGTGCCCAGAGGTAAATTCGTCTGATATCACAAGTTCTTTCTTGGCAAGTAGCCAGCACAAAAGCAATCTTCTAGTGATTGTGGTAGCTCTGGGTTGGAAGATGAGAACAGAACTCTTACGGAGGGAATGAGATGTTTTATAGCAAGATAAGACGTGGTTATATGTATTATATAAGGCATCTAAAAGCTGGAGTTCTGGTACCAGATAAATAATTAATACTCTAGTTTTGTTACCACTGTTCTGTATCTCAGGTTGATTGTATGTAGCTCAAGATTCCTGGAGATGTATTAATGAATCATCAGCATTTCTCCTTCGTCTGTTTCATACCCTAGTATTTCTATTTAGATTATCGTTGTAAAGTTGCACATTAAAAGATACTTATATTAAACTATACAAGTAGTGTAGTCAAGGAAGTCAAGAATGTTCCTTTGCAAAATTTTTGCCAAGTTAGTTTTTGTAATGTTAAATTATTATCCTTACATTTTCTAAGCAGGGTATCTGTCTTAGATTAATGTTTTTGACTTTAATTTCAGATAAGAATTTGTATCTGCTTTAAAATTCTTATAGTCATGTCCATGAGATGCTTCTCTGTGTGTTGTGGAAAAGGAAGTTGAAATTGTTTGAGTGTGGATTATAAATATAAAAATATATCCTTAGCAATGTTTTCATAGCTAGTCGAAGTGGCTGAGTAAAAAACTCATGCAGCACCTACTTTATTATAATTTCTAATACCTGAGTGCTTGGCTTTGAAATAGTGTTCTGTTACTGTAGATTCCCCTTGGATATGTTTATATACTTCTGACCTGAAATACAAAGAGAAACATTTGATCAAAATTGTTTCAAACAAATTTTTTTTTGTCATTTACTACATATCTGTGCCCCATGTCATCAGACATGGGCAAAAATACCAGTTTGCAGAAGGACAACTTTGATTATAATTGCACAAATGATGTATTCGTGCCTGTACAAAGGGATTAGGGGAGCAGGTAAATGGAAAAATCTCTGTTTGCTGAGCTGGCACATAGAGCTTTGGCTCTGTGTTTATTGTGGAGGTTTAAAATCATTGTGAAAACTAGTAGAAAGTTTTTCTTTCTTTCTTTCTTTCTTTTTTTAAAGGCGTGCTTTTCCTAGTCAGCGTCTGAATAACTGATTATGTTCATTTTGAACACTTGTTAGGTTGTTTTCCATGCATTAGGAGATTTGCAGCCAGCATTTGCCTAACATGAATCTAGCCCAGGTTTCTGATATTTTTGAAGAATCTTGCTGAAATTCAAAGTCGTCTTCAATTATTCAGTACACTGAAAAACTGCTCTGTCTTGCAGACATGAAGAGACTTCTCATTATGCTTAAAGACCTCCATGTTTTTAATGAGGTGAATTCTTTGTCCATTCTCCGGTGCTTCAAACTGGCAGTTGAATAGGGCAATGAATGTGAAATGCCGTGGTTCACACATCATATTTTCACCTCTAATGGATTTTCCTACAAAGTTGGATGCGTATGTCGAATGTTTTTAAGGAGACTTTTTTATGTCAGTAAAGTAGGTCTTTAATTATGACATTATCATTGACATTCCCAAAAAATGGGGACGATGGACTGGATGAGAGGTAATACTGGTGTGTGCCACCCCTACAGGTGTGACAGCAAGTTTTCCTTGTAAGAAAACATACACACTTAATTGAATGATAGTGACAATAGAACTAATGGAAGCAGAAGCACTTGACACCTGAGTACATACAGCTGCTTCAGCTGGATTGACCAGCCTTTTGGTCTATACAGAAGTGTAATGATTAACGTCTGGATACTGCATATTCACTTCTGTGCACATGCCACTTTGTAGATGTACTCATATGGACCCCAGAGGCTCACAGTGTGGGTGCACGTTATTTGTTATGGTTGATGGTTGTAAGTTTGGGAATACTTGCAACGTGCAAGCATAGTTCCTGATAATTAATGGGTGCCAAGTAATGGCTTTAAACAGATGTTATTAATGTGTAAATGTTGCTGTAGTACAGTCAGAAAAAAACAACAAACAATGAAATGCACTGAGTACCTGAAGCAGAGGAAAAGGAATTAGGTTGGAATTAAAATGGTGCCTGTTAAAGAGCTGCAGTTGCCAGGCTACTGACATCGCTGCTGTGTGTGTGGGGTGTGCGACACAATGCTCAGTCTTTTCTCCTGCATCCTTTAGTAACTGCATTATTCTGTGAACATCAAGGTTTAGTTCCTTCATCTGTCAAGTTAAGTGATTTAATTCGACACCCAGAACAAGATTTTACATTTTTGGGAGCAGCAAGGTATTGGAATGAACATGGAAATTCGTAAGTGGTTTACAAAAAATGATACCTATGCTAAGGTAGGGATTATTAGGCATTTATCTGTAAGTCATTGATATATAGTCATGTCTATGTATCTAGTCCATTCAGATGTTATTTTTAAATAATATTACCTCTGTGGTATACAGAATTTCAATTTAATTTTTTCCTATATTTAGCAGCAAGGAAGGACTTTAAATGTTGCTGCTCATGCCAATTGGAAAAAAAAAAAAAAAAAAAAAGGTTTTTGTTGTCCTCCCTCTTCCCCTCATCTCCTTGGAAACTGTGGGCATCCTTTGATAGCTTTCCCAGAGCAGTATTTTTATATGCACATTTTTTTCCCAGTGTATTCTTCAGAGCCTAATATAACTGTTTGTGTATCCTTTATATTGAAAGAAAATATTTTCAACAAAAGATGAAAAAAAATCTCCATTATTTAAAATGCAACATGTGTAGTCATATATATGTCTATAATATATATTCATTTATATTGCATTTGTAGATTTTTGCCATTTTATTCATGTTGTTTTGGTGAATGCTGTTTTATCCCATGTACTATAAGCATGTCCAACAGAAATCTGTAGTGCCTGAAAAGATCTGCAAGAAACTGCTTTGATACAAGGTACTTGAGAGACATAACAGTGTCACGCAACTGCAATTTCTTCTTCAAGATACAATTATAATGCATTTCAAAGCAAATGTTTCTTACTAATTACAATATATTTAAAGAATAGGGAAGGGGAAATATTAACAAGGTTAAAACAGCACGTATTAGCAAATAAAGTTTAAAGTGCCTGTTAAAATACAGCTCAAAATATTTTACGTATGCAATGTAGTTTCAGTTGTGAATATTTTTATTTTTTTTTTAACCTAAGGAAAAAACTGTATCAGGAATCAAAGTTTAATAATGCTTCCTAGGCATAAGCTACTAACTGGAGTGAAATAACGGAGTATCACAAAGCAGCATTTTTTATCCAAATGGTAATCTTACTGAGGGGACATTTTCATTTGGATATCAGATCTTAAGAAAAAAAAAATACAATATCAAAAAACAGTTGCTTTAAATTTAAGTTATGAGTGAAGTTTCTTATGGTGAATTTCTTCAAAAAAAAAAAAGTTACCTTTTGTCTTTAATGTAAGTGTGGAATAAAGAGAAAGCATAGTCAGATGTGTTCTTTTATTTGGAAAACAGTACCTGGTGCAGCATACCCAGTAAAATTTACAGGCATACATTTAGAACTAGGCTGAAATACTTTTTTAGCCATTTGATGACAATTATTTTTGATCATGATTAGTGTAGCCTGAAATCTAATCAGTGACGAATGCATTTGAAGACTTAAAATATCCTGAAACTACACAAATGTCCTGATAAAACAAACAAACAAAAAGGTTAGGTCTCTTAGGTGTTAATAAGCAGCATGGAAAACATGGAAATAGTGCTAATAATGGAACCACCTCCAAACCCAAAGTGCTAGTCAGTTTTGTGTGATGATGGTAATTGTAAATACAGCAGGTGGTGGTTGTTCTAGATTGCAGCATTTAGGCTTAAAATCCTTCTCAGCTGCCTAGAATAATATTTTCTTATAGATTAGTTTTCATATAGTCAACAATTATGTCCCTCTCTCCTATGAAGGTGAAAAAGACAATCTTCTGATTATGATAACAGGATTTTTTTTTAATATAGATTACTGTGGAATCCTGCAAGACAGGTGTGTCGTTACTATGGAGAAAAAAAAAAAAGAAATTCTGGTTTATCATCTATTTGAGTTTTTAACTTCCAGTTAGTTTTGCCTGTAATCAAACCATGAACAAAACTAGATTTAAAATATTTTCTTAGAGATTAAACTTCATCAAATCAGGAATATAATAGATTCCAGATAAAGAAAGAAGTTTTATTTTGTTTATTTTTTTAAAAAAAGAAAGAAAAACAAGAGAATCTGTACAAAATATGAGACAAATCCGTTAATTATATAAATATTTGTGGACTATTAATTTTTAAAGAAGAGTTCATTTTTAATCACTTTTATATGCAGTTAATCTATAAATTAAACCTATGATAATCTAATGTTATGTATCTGCCTTCTGATTATTCATGTGTTTAGGTTTTGTTTGTTTTTTCCAATTTTCATTATTTTTGTGTTCACATATCCACAGTTTTAATTGTTAGACCATCACTTTCTGAGTTTTGGCTCGTTACGCTATTTTGCGTTTTAGTAAATTATTATGTAATCAGCTGGATGACTTTAATTTCAGAAAACATGGCTGTTAATGGTGCCAGCTATTTTTTTATTGTGACTGGAAGAAATCTTTGTTGCAGTTCTAAATGCCCAAAACACAAATATTTCTGAATGTGATTGATACTTTAATTGTAAAGAAAGGGCCTTTGGATTTTGTAATCTTATTAAGAAGTAAAAGACTAAGTGGCAAATTCAGAAACTTGGAGACTATTTACGTTTGTCAGTTTGTGAGAGTGGGGGTGGTGATGATGATTCTTTAATTAATAAGATAAATTAATTTCCTAGGGACTCTTATTGATAGCACAAGAAGGATTGTAAATGAACTGCAGGGTAATGCAATTTATAGCATTTACGGAATGTTTATGTGCCAAGTATATGCCCCAAGCACATAAGAAAAATTTGAAAATAAAATTAATCATTCAGCTTCATTTTCATCCCTAGCATTGGAATTTCGTTTTAATACATACATAATACTTTTCTCATAAGTTTTTTTCAACATAGCCTGATAGTTCCCTTTGCACTATAGGTCACTGTTGTAGTTGTACAAAAACAACCCTTATGCTTAATCAACAATTGCTTTTAGCATTGCTTCATATCAAAAGTCTTCTTTTTTTTTTTTAATTCCCTCTCCTTTGTGGGGCTTAAATTTACCTGATGCTTGTTAAATTGACCATAACTCTCCTCACCTTTTACATTTATAGGCGCAGTTCCTTGAATTAAAGACCCTGTCCTCCTTACTCCATGTAGTGTTTTTCTATATAATGTACTTCAGTCTGTTTACCTATCCACAGTATAAGTATGTCCTTAAATGAGACATTCTTTAGTGTAGTTGCAGATGTAAATTGTCATGTCTGGACCTTTCCAGAGCCCACACTGAAGCACGCAGCGATATGGTGAAACTCAGCTAAATTTTCCTCCACCCATCTGCCCAAGAAGGATCTTTTCTACAGGTGCTCTTACTGATGCAAGTAAAATAGTTTTCTTTGGATTCCTTCTGCAGTCATTTGGACTTTGTTCTGACACTTAGATCACCATGTTGTGATCCACCTAGTCATCTTTATCAGCCTCAGTTGCAGCTGTTAGGCCACTGGAGTGATCAGAAAGTCATAAGTATGTCTTCGGGTTGATGGAGTTGGCATTGCATCCATTTGCAACTGGGTTGAACCTAGCTTTGTGTCACATGAGGACTGGTTTCTAAGTGATTCAGAAATTCTGTAAAAATTGGTGACCTTCCCTACTCGTCTGCTGCAAATATATTTACCAAGGCTTGTTGTGAACGTTTTCTTGTATCTCAGAATCACAGAATGGTTGAGGTTGGAAGGGACCTCTGAAGCTCTAGTCCAAACCCCACTCCTGCTTGAGTGGGGCTGCCTGGAGCAGACCATGTCCAGACAGCTTTTGAATATCTCTAAGGATGGAGAGTCCATAACTGCTCTGGGCAACAGTCACCTGCACAGTAGAAAAGTGTTCCCATATGTTTGGGCAAAACCTTGTGTTTCAGCCTGTGCCCATTGCCTCCTGTTCAGCACCACTGGAGCCTGGCTCTGTCTGTACAGCCCTCCTTCAAATATTTGTACAAATGGATATGATCCTCCCCAAGCATTCTCTTCCCTGAAGAGTCCTAACTCTCTCAGCCTTTCTTTGTGAGAGAGATGCTCCAGTCACTTACTCATCTTCAAGTTCCTTCATTACATTCTCTCCACTATGTCCATGTCTCTCATGTACTGGGGAGCCCAGAACTGGACCCAGTATTCCAGGTGTGGCCTCACCAGGGCTGAGTACAGGGGATAACCTGCCTTGACCTGCTGGCAGCACTTCTCGTGCATCCCAGGGTACCTTTAGCCTCCTTTGCCACAAAGGCATGGTCCCTCCAGTATTCTTATTACTACCACTTTCATGGTTTATTTTTAAAAAATAGCACTAAAAAATTGTTAACATACTACATAAATAATGAAGTGAGCCTCTCCTTAGAGGAGATGCTTTTTCGGTTCAAAGTGTTCTGGTTTATTCTTGTAAGCATATAACTATGCTTCATAAATAATAATTTAACTAAACTTTCTGGATACTTTTGTATCTCGTAAAAGAAAACTTTGAGTTTTCTGCTTCTTAGTGAGTTTTAGTCTGAGCTCCAAGTTTGATATGGTATATAAATGGTAATTATGGTTGAAGTTATGCTATAATGTAGTTCCATATGCAATGACACTTGCATTTCTCAAATATATAAAATAAATTAAAAATAACCTGTACTAATCTAAGATTACTAATAATTGGCACTACCTCAATAAAATAGTGAGAGACTATTGCCTGTCACTAATCTATGCATATGGAATAGCCAAGCTATCCACAGATAAAACCTTAGCAGAATTCTTTCTTCACATGCATCTAAATGACTTGCCAGATTTCTTTAATAAATAAAACATAAACAAGCCCTGTTGTGTTGCTTTTGTGTTTTTTGTTTTTTTTTAAAAAAGCAAAATAATTAATGAAGTCTTGATGAAAAGTGCCTACTGATAGGAAATTATTTTCATAATTTAGTGTACTTTTAGTTGAAAGTATGTGTTTGTATTGATTTGATATGTTTCATCTCGGTAGCATTTAATATATTAAGCCTTTGTGTTGGTAACAGAGTGTTTTGGTTGAAGATATTGCAGCACTTTTTTAATGATCCATAGTCTTATAAGGATGAGACTGAAGTGAATTGTACTATGAAATTGACAATAACAGTATGATAAAAGAATTAATATGCAGAGAGTGAGTAAAGTTTCAGCAAACAATTCCTTTGTAAACGTGTGCGTTCTTGGTATGTCAATGGGGAAATGGCCATGCTTGTGCTCTATCTAGCCAGCCTTTTGACATTACCATTGATCAAATATTGACCTAGGTATGTAATTGATCTGGCTCAATAGGGCATTTCTTGTGGTTTTATGTTAAAGTCCCCTCATTTTAAGCACAACAAGTAGTTGGAGAAACAATATTACAAAAACGTCTAGTATATGTTGGTGTTTTTCTTACTATTTCTTGTGTTTCACCGTTCTTAAAAGGATCTTGTGTTACAGCTTTTAAATTCCCTGCAAGTGGATATTTCCCTCATACATAGCAGAGAAAATTTGCTCTCACAGTAGTGGTCAAATATTGTTTGAGTGATTTTGTGCAGAGCATTATGCTTTTATTTAGAAAGTTTTGAACCTGAGTGTAGGAGAAAATAAACATGGTGAAGAACAGCTTCAACTAGTGCAAACCAAGATCTATTCAGGTTTTCATGTGCTATCTCCCACTCCCACAAATAGACTCCTCTGAGTGGTTATAAAATCCCTGCCATGCTTCACACTGAAGCCTGTGAATGTCTGCTCAGTGTATTTCTGGTTGTTCGTTTATACCTCGTAAACACAAGATTTTACTGTTAAAACATAAAGGTTAGCTATATTGTTAAGATACATATGCATTAAGTATGGGAACAAAACTGCATTATTCTTTTGTTTAACATTCTGCCTTCATGTTGTAGTTAATGATATTCTGTTTTAAAGGCAAAAATGTCACAGGTGAAACAAGTGGGTCTTTTAGCTGCTGGATGTCAGCCATGGAACAAAGATGTGTGTGCTGCTAGTGGGGACAGATTTGCCTACTGTGCTACCCTTGCTATTTATATTTATCAGGTAAGATTGTTTATATTTAACAGACTAGTTATTTTACATTATTGCTTATCTCATTTTGAGCCCTTTCAATATGTGTTTCTATTATGCTTTTGAAAGTATGATTACTGCTGAGAAGATATCTGTATAAAACACAGTCTCCCATTCAAGATACCTCTTCCAAAGTATTGTTTTTTCTGCTAGTTAAAAATAGTGCATAGAGTTGATGTGTAAGCATTGTATTTGAAGTTGTATGTATCTGGAATTGTAAAAGACTCTCAATCCAGCAAATGTCTGAGATGAATGAAAATCTGTCAAAGAAGAACAGCTTTTGAGAGAGAAATGAAGCAATTCTGTGTTTTCATTTGAAGCTATAGTGTAGAAGTAGTAATTTTAAGCAGTTTTTAATCCAGTCTGGGAAACTTTAAAGATGGAGCTACAGAGCTGTGGATTCAGTGGCCCACGTATCTTTGGTTTGGAGCAACTTATTACTTTCTTTGTTTCTGAACTGCACAGCAGCATGGTCATTTACAGTATCCGATTACTGTGCATCAATATGTAAAAAAAAAAAAAGTATAAATGCTATCACATAGAATTTTCAGATTGAGAAATACTGCATGAAATAAGGATAACCTTATTTGAACTTCATGAGTTATGCTGCTTGTGGGATTAAAATGAACTTTTCTGTGTCAGGTTTGGGGTTCCATGTTTTTTTTGTTGTTGTTTTTTTGTTTTTTTACTGGATGAAGCAAATTAAGGAATTAGGTTTCAAACTCAAGGGACGGAACATGGAAATGTAGATTAACTGTAAAGAATGCATTTTAGTATCCTTATATAAAAATCATGTTAGAGTGCAGTTTTTAAAGAAATACAGTGAGCCTGTTCCTACCACCTGCGGTGGGCAATGAGACTGTGTGCGTGAGGTGTGAGCAGGTGGATGACCTGGTCCGCCTCGTGGCAGAACTCAAGGAGGAAATTGAGAGGTTGAGGGATATCAGAGAGTGTGAGCACGAGACAGACTTGTGGAGCGACTCCCTGCATGGCCTGAAGGACAGGCCCCGGGGTGAGACACCCCAACTGGGGGTGGACCCCCTGCAGAGGCAGGGGACCTAGGAGTTGAGGAGGAATGGAGACAGGTCCCTGCTCAACATCACAGGTGATGCCCTCCCCCACCAGCCCGGCCTTCCCAGGTGCCCTTACGCAACAGGTTTGAGGCCCTGAAGCTTGAGAAGACCGGTAGCTGAGGCAGAGGTAGAAAGTCTACCCAGGAGGATGCCTGGGGTGAGGAACTCAACTCCACGCCTCAGGACTGCTTTCACTAGGACAGAAAGAAGGGTGATTGTTGTGGGCGACTCCCTTCTCAGGGGAACAGAGGGCCCTATTTGTTGGCCTGACCCTACCCGTAGGGAAGTCTGCTGCCTCCCTGGGGCCAGGGTCAGGAACATTGCCAGAAAGCTTCCCAGCCTGGTTTGCCCCTCTGACTATTATCCTCTTTTAATAGTCCAGGCTGGCAGTGATGACATTGAAGAGAGAAGCCTGAAGACCATCAAATGGGACGTTAGGGGACTGGAATGGTTATTGGATGGAGCGGGAGTACAGGTGGTGTTTTCGTACATCCCAGTGGTGGCAGGGAGGGGTACAGAGAGGACACGGAAAGCCCACCTGGTAAACACGTGGCTCAGAGGCTGGTGCCAACACAGAAATTTTGGGTTTTTTGACCATGGGGTGCTTAACTTGGCACCCAGCCTGATGGCTGCAGATGGGTCCCTATCTCTAAGGGGAAAACAGATCCTTGGCCAGGAGCTGGTGGGGCTCATTGAGAGGACTTTAAACTAGGTGAGAAGGGGGACGGAGCTGAAACAAGTCTTGTTAGAACTGTGCCAGGGGTAACAATGGCAAGGCTGGGAGAGAAGGCAGTGGCCCAGCTGAAGTGCATCTATACTAATGCACGCAGCATGGGTAACAAACAGGAGGAGCTGGAAGCCATCGTGCGGCAGGCAGGCTACAACTTGGTTGCCCTCACGGAAACATGGTGGGACCACTCTCATGTCTGGAGTGCTGCAATGTCTGGCTATAGGCTCTTCAGAAGGGACAGGCAGCATGGAAGGGGTGGTGGTGTGGCTCTCTCTATCAGAGAGGGTTTTGATGTCGCGGAACTTGAGGCTGGGAATGATAAGGTTGAGTCCCTATGGGTTAGGATCAGCAGGAAGGCCAACAAGGCAAGCATCATGGTGGGGGTCTGTTATAGACCGCGAAACCAGGATGAGGAGGCTGATGAGGAGTTCTACAGGCAGCTGACAAAAGTTGCGAAATCAGCGCTTGTACTTGTGGGGGACTTCAACTTCCCAGATATATCCTGGAAGCACAACACAGCCCAGAGAAAGCAGTCTAGGAATGTAGTGGGTTTCCATGGCAAGGTTTTGGTAGCAGGGGGCCATAGGGGTGGTTTCTGTGAGAAGGATCTAGAAGCTGCCCCATGTTTGGTAAGGGCCCCACTGCTGACCAGAGCTGAGCCAATAAGCGATGTTTTTTTGTGCCTCTGTGAGAGCATATTTAAGACAGGGAAAAAAACGCTGCACCACACAGCAGCTGGGAGAGTGAGAGGAGTGAGGAACAGCCTTGCAGGCGCCAAGGTCAGTGTAGAAGGAGGGGGAGAGGTGCTCCAGGCACCAGAGCAGAAGTCCCCTGCGGCCTGTGGTGAGGACCATGGTGAAGCAGGATGTCCCCCTGCAGCCCATGGAGTACCACGGTGGAGCAGAGGTCCACGCTGCAGCCCGTGGAGGAGACCACGGTGGAGCAGGTGGCCCTGCACCGACGGAGGCTGCCGCCTGTGGAAGACCCCTGCCGGAGCAGATTCCAGGCTGGACCTGTAGCCCGTGGAGAGGAGACCACGCAGGAGCAGGTGACCTGGCAGGAGCTGCTGCCCGTAGGGGAGCCAGGTTGGAGCAGTTTGCTTCTGAGGGATGGACCCCGTGGTACGGACCCATATCTGGAGCAGTTCTGGAAGAGCTGCTGCCTGTGGGAAGCCCACGCCGGATCAGTTCATCAAGGACTGCATCCCGTGGGTGGGACCCCACAGCACAGGGGACGAGAGTGACCGAGAAGGAGCGGCAGAGAAGAAGCGCTGTAGACTGACCATAACCCCCATTTCCCTGTTCCCCTGCGCCACTCGGGGGAAGGAGGTGGAAGAGGGTGGATGGGGGGAAGGTGCTTTTGGTTTCTTTCCTTTGTTTCTCACTTCTCTAGCTTGTTAGTAATAAACAATAAATCTTACTATCTCCCTATGCCAAGTCTGTTTTGCCTGTGAAAATAATTACTGCGTGATCTTCTCGTCCTTATTTCAACCTTTGAGCCCTTTTCATCATATTTTCTCCCCATTCTTCTTTGAGGAGAGGGAGCGAGAGAGCGGCTGTGGTGGAGCTTGGCTGCCCACTCGAGCAGAACCACGGCAAGGAGGTTTCTGGAGAGTGTGGAAGATAGCTTCCTGACACAGCTGGCTCCTCCCTACCAGGGAAGGTGCCCCGCTAGACCTTCTCTTCACAAACAGAGAAGGACTGGTGGGAGATGTGGTGGTTGGAAACTGTCTTGGGCAGAGTGACCATGAAATGGTAGAGTTCTCCATTCTTGGAGAAGCCAGGAAGGGGACCAGTAAATCTGCTATATTGGACTTCCAGAGGGCTGACTTTGAACTGTTCAGGACACTGGTTGGCAGAGTCCCTTGGGAGGCGGTTCTGAAGGGCAGAGGAGTCCAGGAAGGCTGGGCGCTCTTCAAGAAGGAAATCTTAATGGCGCAGGAGCGGTCTGTCCCCACGTGCCCAAAGACAATCTGTCAGGGAAGTAGACCAGCCTGGCTGAACAGAGAGTTGTGTCTTGAGCTTAGCAAGAAAAAGAGGGTTTACAATCTTTGGAAAAGAGGGCGGGCCACTTGGAAGGACTATAAGGATGTTGCGAGGCAGTGCAGGGACAGAATTAGAAAGGCCAAAGCTCATCTGGAGCTCAGTCTGGCGACTGCCATCAAAGACAACAAAGAATGTTTTTACAAATACATTAATGCAAAACGGAGGACTAAGGAGAATCTCCAGCCTTTACTGGATGCGGGGGCTAACTTAGTTATGAAAGATGAGGAAAAGGCAGAGGTGCTTAATGCCTTCTTTGCCTCAGTCTTTAGCGGCAAAACCAGTTGCTCTCTGGATACCCAGTACCCTGAACTGATGGAAGGGGATGGGGAGCAGAATGTGGCCCTCACTATCCATGAAGAAATGGTTGGCGACATGCTGTGGCACTTGGATGTATGCAGGTTGATGGGGCCAGATGGGATCGACCCGAAGATACTGAGAGAACTGGCAGAGGAGCTGGCCAAGCCGCTTACCATCATTTATCAGCAGTCCTGGCTATTGGGGGAGGTCCCAGTTGACTGGCAGTTAGCAAACATGACGCCCATCTACAAGAAGGGCCAGAGGGCAGACCCAGGAAACTATAGGCCTGTCAGTTTGACCTCAGCGCCAGGGAAACTCATGGAGCAGATTATCTTGAGTGTCATCATGCGGCACTTGCAGGGCAAACAGGTGATCAGGCCCAGTCAGCATGGGTTTATGAAAGGCAGGTCCTGCTTGATGAACCTGATCTCCTTCTATGACAAGGTGATGTGCTTGGTGGATGAGGGAAAGGCTGTGGATGTGGTCTACCTTGACTTCACCATTTCCCACAGCATTCTCCTGAAGAAACTGTCTGCTCGTGGCTTGGACTGGCATACGCTTTGTTGGGTTATAAACTGGCTGGATAGCCGGGCCCAAAGAGTCGTGGTGAATGGAGTCAAATCCAGATGGAGGCTGGTCACTAGTGGCACAACTTTAGTTGTGCCAGGTGTGTTTTAGGTTGGATATTAGGAAGAAGTTTACTGAGAGGGTTGTGAGGCATTGGAATGGGCTGCCCAGGGAAGTGGTGGAGTCACCATTCCTGGAGGTCTTTAAAAGACGTTTAGATGTTGAATTTAGCGATTTGGTTTAGTGGAGGACTTGTTAGTGTTAGGTCAGAGGTTGGACTCGATGATCTTGAGGTCTCTTCCAACCTAGACAATTCGGTGATTCTGTAACAATAATTTATAAGTGAAAACAATAGAATGCTAATAGTGCTTGGGATAATTGAATATTTGACACCTTTTCAGTGTAAGTAAAATACATAGGAATTTCATTTATTTAAATGTCAAGTACTGAGAATTGTTAATCCACAAAAATTTCATTTGTAAGCCTGTTACATGAGCAGTTCTCTGACCCAACAGTATTTAAAGTGAGCTTTCAAAATATGTATTTCTAAAATGAATTTTTACTTTTTGTTTAGCTGGATCACCGTTACAATGAATTCAAGCTCCGGGCAATTATGTCTGAGCATAAGAAGACAATCACAGCCATATCCTGGTGTCCGCACAATCCTGACATGTTTGCAAGTGCCAGTGCAGACAGTTTAGTAATTATTTGGAATGTGACTGAACAGAAAGTTGTGGCCAAGCTGGACAACACAAAAGGTACTTCAAACCTGGAGATCTATTTTTCAGTAAAGTTCTTTTCATCTCCACGTATCAGAAATACTTGACATACAGTAAATTCAAAGCATTCCGTAGGCCAGCGGTTTAATAATTGCATAACACAATATTCTTCTGATTGTTATAGTTCGTTTTAGAAAATTATGATAGTGTGTTAGAGGAAATTGCTCTGAAGTGTCTAGTAATTGGTGAAAAGTTTATTTTCTATAAAGTACTTGGCCAACTGAAGAATTTACTTTGTCGTTGATTATTGGTTGAGCAGAAATAAACATTTTTTGTCATAAAAAAGAATAAATAATTAAGATTTAAACATTGGATCATGTCTTTTCATGATTACTTTACAGTTAAAGTGAAAAATAAAATGTAGCATTCTTTACAGAAGTGAAAGCAAATAACATGTAGTGTTCAGCAGGTTCAAGTATAAATTATCAACAAAATTGAAAAATAGTTTTTGTTTAAATACCTTAATTCTTGTCCATCTGCATCTTATCTAAGGACTTGAAACTGCTGACGAGATTGTAATAGAGGTGTAGGGGGGTTGAAAGTCTATACCTGTCACCTTTCCCTGCCCAGTTCTCACTCATTCCCTTCAGTCAAAACCAGCACCTGTATTTCTGTCCTTATAGGCAATCTCTCCAGCTGTGCTTGACTCCTACATTTGCTTCCTTGGAAAACAGGTGTAACCCAAGGACAATTAGTATCTCAGGTTATTCCAAGATATTTTGGGACTCTCTACTCTGTACTTTTCAGAGGATTTAGAATACCCCTGAAAATCTTGTGTATCATGCATATCCTGCAAAAGGAGTAGTAGGGAAACACACGATGATTTGATCTAATCCAAACAGAATATTTGCTCAAATTATGCATTAATATGAAAGCTGATATTTATTTTTCAACACATTGCTTACTTAAAAAGCTACTTCAACCAGTGAATACATGTGAAGTAATATTTTTTCTTATTTTAAATTTTCTAAAATTGTATTATTTTTAGGATAATATACTTAAACATCCTATCAATAAGGTAGTGTTAAAGACAGCAAAAATAGCATTAAAGTATCAAAATATGAACAGTTGTGAATCTTCATCTCAAGAAGTTTGTCTTACTGTCATTCACCCCTTCAGACACGTTATTAAATTATGGGGATAATTAACGTTGGAATTGTTAAAGTCAAAACCTTTAAATGGCAGTCCTCACAGGTAAGTGCTACGCAACAGAGTTAACTGGCGGATGTCCAGAAAGAAGTTATCAAGAGTTTGCTGTAACTTACAGAGTTTTCCAGTTCTATCACAAATACCTGCCTCTGTTTTATTTATCCCTAGATTAAATTACATTATGTTTAAAAAAAAAAAAAAAAGAAAATTGTAAAATTGTCAGTGTTTTACTATTTTACTAGCTTAATAGCAAATAGCTAGCAATAAAACAATAGTGGTAGATGGAATTGTGAATGAATGACAGGATTGTTTACAGGATCAGATTTAACCTCTCTCATATATGTGATTGGCTTTGGCACTAATGAAATCAAGTGTAAGTATCATGAAATACAGCCGATCAAAGTAGTATTAAAATAATTTGAGAAATATTTCTGCTTTCTGCATATGGATACTTGTAGGTTACTTTTATATTGTTTAAATTTCAGTCTAATAGTTTTTATGTAGAAGAATAATTGTTTCTACAGCTTGTCAAGACAGTTGCTGATACTGGGCCCAACAGTAATATACTGAATTTCCTATTCTGGTTCTAACAAGGTTTACCTGTATGTTTCAGGAATTCCTGCGTCACTTAGTTGGTGCTGGAATGCAGGTGATGCAGTTGCATTTGTGTCCCACAGAGGTCCCTTGTACATTTGGACTATCTCAGGACCTGACAGTGGAGTAACTGTACATAGAGATGCACATAGTTTCTTGTCAGATATCTGTCTATTTAGATGGCATCCAAAGAAAAAAGGAAAAGTAGTCTTTGGACATACTGATGGAAGTCTGTCTATTTTTCAACCAGGTAAAAACTGATATTGGAATATATATGTATATATTTTTGTTATTGTCTGTTGCTTCTTTACATGTAATTCTGATTTTTTTTTCATTTAGATTTTAGAAATATAGGCACATACATAAAACTTGTCTTTAATTCATAGTATTTCTCTTCCTTCTATATCACAGAAATATATTTGTTTAGTTGAAGTGTGCAGAGCATTTTCTTTCTCGCTTCCCCCTTTTGATAAGTCTAACAAACTTTTTCTGGGGAATGATAACAGCCACAATTTTCTACTGAATTTTCTTTATTTCCCAGTAAGTTTGTTAATCCAAATGGACAGACTTGAATTTTTCACTAGTCTCTTACTTTAATTCTGTTTGTTCTAGAGCCCCCTGCTTCATATTCTAGAGTCTGCTGACTTTTTCATTTCATTTAATGAATAACAGTGTGTCAGAATTTGTGTCAGAGAGTTTAGGATTCTCTTCTCAAAGAGACTACTTGGGCAAGAGTTTTTCTCTTTATGTTTGTAATGCACAGAGCATGTGTATGCATACTTCATTAGCAGAGTACTAGACTAATTAAAAAAAGGGTTTTGCTGAATAAGGACATGTCTTTTCAAGTTAAAATTCAGCACTCTTTCATAAACAGCTTTCTGTGAAGACACATAACGATATGAGATGGACTATTTAGATTTTTTTTCTTTTCTATTTCTTTTTCCTCCACTGAAACATGATTTTTCAACTTTGAGAAAAAATAGTTCTTTAAATAAATCATTCGTTTTACACATTATATTCCAACAGCCATTGAAAATTTGTTCCCCTTCAGTTCACTGTAATAAGTTGTCACTAGGTATGTCACAGAAAATAAATTCCCTTGCTTCAGCAATGCTGGCTGACTTAGTACTAGCATAGGGAAATTAAAATCTGTTTTAATATCACCTCTAAATATGTATCAAACAGAGTTTTCATGAATAGTTTGCCTAGAATTATTTCAATATGAAAATAGCGTTAATAGCAAAAGGATTTAAAATGTCAGAATTTTTGTCATGCAAATAGAACATTGGCTAAAAAGCTGGCATCAATGGCAGTTCTGTATGTACCACAGTACAAGTTCCATTATTTTTTTAATTGAAAATTGTTCATACTGAGAGGGGTGGGGGGTAGACCAAAATTTTGCTTATATCTGTTTAGAGTATTTTTTTATTTCATTATTATTGTAATATTATAAATATTTTCTAAGATCATTTAAAAATAAAAATAAATAACAGTGGTTTTCTGTTTTTAATCTATATAAAATTATTGGTTTCCAACAAATTGTACATTTATATGCAATTGAGTGATTTTTTTTTTCAGAACTTTTCCACTGAAATTCCTGGATATAAATAATGCAGGTTACTTCTTAAGTTATTTGGAACTGCAATTGACACTTGAAAATGAACTTCTCAATTTTTAGTTTTTAAATTATTTAAAATTTTACTTTTACAAAATTTTTCAAGGAAATTAATGCATTTTCTGTTGGATTCTATTGTGTGTGTTGTTTTTTTTTAATTCCGAACATACTTCTTTTAATGAATTGTATGTAAGATAATTTAGTCAAATAGGATTTTTATTTGTTTTTTTTTTTTAGTAACAAATAATCGTGGATCTGCAGAGGTCCACTTAACGAATTAATTGTCAGAGCTAAGTAGCAAGTTTTACTATGTGGGATGAATTAGTTTGACAAATTCAGATGTATTCAAGACCAGGCACTAACTGAAATACCATATTGCTGCCATTCAAAGCCCAGACTTGCATGCAGTAAGAAAATTGAATATTTCAAAGGATTATGTTCCTGTAATTAGGACAATGACATTTGAGCAATCATAATGATTTTGAAAGTACACAGGCAAGTCCTAGTTTCTTTTTCCTATGAGTACCCTTACTGTGGTTACATCTTCATGAATGACTAGTTCTTTAAATGTAATTGCACCTTCATGAACTACTAGGATGTCTTAACATTTGGATATAATTGAAAATGTAGGCTTATGTAAGCTAACTAATTTTACCAACCTTGGTTTTCTAGTTTACAATTTATAGTCATTATTGATCAGATGTTTGTAACTGGTGGCTTTTAAAAAATAACAGTACTTCAAACAAAGGGATGTCAGTGGATTAAATATAGGTCCTTTGTGTTTACTATTTTTATTAAAAAAAAATAAAAAATAAAATAAAAGAGAGATGGGCAGGGAGTTGGCAGTATCCAGTACAGGCTAGTAAGCTAATATTTTGCATTCTGAGCTTAAAGTTCAGCCCTCATGTACCTACTGTAAAATGTGTACAATGGCTTGTTGGACCAGGACTTAGTTAGACACTAAGTGAAATCAATTTAAAAAAAAAGTTCCTTTTCCATTCTTTTAAAGGGTCCAGTCCTTTTGCAGAATAAGTAAAATACACTTATTGTGGACACTTACTGATTCTACAAAACACTCTCTAGAGAGAACCTGAACATCCACAGCTTCCTGTTAAGTGTTTGAGAGTGCAGTGTGTTGACTTGTTGAAGAATCCAGTCTTTCTGTTTGAGTCACTGCTGAATAATTAGCAGACTACACTACTTAGGTCTTTGTCTTGTAGTTATACTTTCTTTTAATTAATTCCAGATTATCCATTTTTGTAGCAGAACATTTAGTGTGAAGAAAAAACAGGCAAGGATTTAAGATTAGTAACCTATTTAAAGAAATACAGTGCAGTCATTTAGAACCAGGTGTTCTATACTAGATTACCTTTCATTTGTTCTCAGAATTAAGTACAGCTTACTTAAATCACGGGTGACTCAATCACATGATTCACAATACAATTGCTTTCTTTTAATAGAAGATAAAATTTAACAGTTAGGGGTTCCCATGAGCTTTTATTCCTGATGCTTGAGAAGAGATGACTACACCTTAGCAGTTTTCTTGTATAAAAACACAAGTGGAATGAAGGAATCAGTTTATGCAGCTATTAGTTGTAAAATCTTAATTCATTTGCTCAATTTCTGATAATTGATGGATAAAGTTAATGCCAGATACAATGTACAAAAATTGATTTTTAATAGAAAATAAGTTATTTTAATATTAAGAATGTTCCACCGTGATCAACATTGTTTCTTTTTTGGTTCTAGTTGGGATAGGCTTTGTTCTACACAAAATCATAGAATTACTTAAGTTGGAAAAGACCTCCAAAATTATCAAGTCTAACTGTTTAATCTAGCCAAATCTGCCACTAAACCATATCCCTATGTCAATCATTAACTAATAGGCCTTGGCATTTATCAAAATATGATTAATTATATTTTTTGTTATTAAAATTGAAAAGTAGATTTAAAACTGAATAGTTGAAGATGTAAATTAATTATTTCTAGAAAAGTGGTGCAAAATAGTGGATTTTTTTCTTAATACAAGGTTATCTGTTATGCAGGTGTCAAATTTGATATCTAATGGCTTGTTCTGGCTTTAAAATGTATGAATGCTTCATAATTGCACAGGTAGTTTTGGAGAACCAAAAAATTTTGGTTTACAAACAAGCAATTGTTTGTAAACATTACTTTGCTACAATTTTTTTCTTGTTCACATTGCTTTTCTTTTGCCTATATTTGCTGTTGTGCAAATATAATACGCCTGTTATGCATATTTGCTTATACTAAAATAGCTCACATGTTCAACTGTGCTGCATACCTCTTTGCTCATGGAAATTATTTGGACAATGTATATTTAACATATTTTTCTGTAGTATAAAATTCTGTTGATAAATCTGAAAGTTGTTTCTATCTTCTGCTGTATTAAAAAAACAAAAGTCATATCTGATGGAGCTAGGTCTACTTTAAGTCAAATATTGCAATGCCAGCTTTGTTGATTTCACTGGTACAGACAGTAAAGCAAGCTGCTAACAATTTCAGGGAGAAACAAAAATTAGATTTGCAATCCTTGTAAATATCTCAAGGATATATTTGATTTCATTTTGAAATAACTGTATTCTCGTACTCTTAAAGGCTCTAAAAATCAGAAACATGTCTTAAGACCAGAGTCTCTTGAAGGAACAGATGAAGAGGATCCTGTTACAGCACTGGAGTGGGACCCTTTGTCAACTGATTACCTTCTTGTTGCTAATTTACACAATGGCATACGACTAGTTGATTCTGAATCTCTGTCCTGTATCACAACGTTTAATTTTCCCAGTGCAGCAGCATCTGTTCAGTGTTTAGCCTGGGTTTCTAGTGCACCAGGAATGTTTATAACTGGAGGTAAGCATTTTCTTTCCTGATTTATGGAAAAGTAGTGAATATAGCACTGAGTCTTCTGTTTCTTAACATTTCTACAAATTAAAGAATACATGTGTTGTACAAAGAAAAAGATGTATGGAAAAGAACATGAAATGACAATAAGCAGTTTTTACGTATTTTCTATTTGTGGGGTACAAATAATGTTTTCCTTATGCACACTTAAGCAATATCATTAGAGTTTTTTTAGGGAATAGGAATGCATTGCACTGAAGGGTGCCAATTCTTGTTCTTCTGCTTTTCTTTCTCTATTTCCAGAAGGGTTTTTTTTTTCCTTTTTCCTGCTTCTTTTCTATACTGTAGTTTCAAGGTAGTATAGTTTTAAGGTAGGAGAACCAATAAATAAGGAAAATGAAACTATGAGATTATTTTTATAAAGAGAGAGTTTCCATAGAGTTTATCAGCTGAATTTTAAATAACTAATGTTACTAATTGCTATTGTTAATAGTGAAATTACCACAGAGACAACTGTGCCTGCCTATAAATATGTTTAGGATTCTAAGTTTAATTCATTGTCTTTTTTTTTTTTTTTTTTTTTTTTTTTTGCTTAAACAGACTGTATACATTAAAAAAATAAAATTTTTTTTTTTAACCACAGATTCTCAAGTTGGTGTGTTACGTATTTGGAATGTTTCACGTACAACACCTATAGATAATTTTAAATTGAAGAAAACGGGTTTCCATGGTTTGCATGTACTAAGTTCTCCTCCAAAGAAGAAGTGTAAGTTTACATTTGATTGTTATTCATTACAGTTAGAAGTTAGTTTAGAAAATATTTTTGTGAATCTTGGTATACCCAAGTTGATCTCTGAAAACTTTTTCTTGGCTCTCTAGTTCTTAATTAAGCAAAGTGCTTGCTCTGGTGCTGATGGGTGGGACAAATGAATGTGTAAAGGATCAAGCTCTTTATAATGTCCTTCTTTAGTAGGCCAGGCTTTGTACAGCAATTGTCCATTTCTTTTTCCTTTTTAAATCTCTTTGTAATACAAAGCAATTTCCTCTATATAATTATTATTTATGGCTAAATGGAAAATTAAAAAAATAATCTTATGTTTCTATTTTTTCTTAAGCATTTTTATCACTATCTCCAACTAAAAATCATCATACATCCTCGACAAGTGAAGCTGTTCCTCCGCCAACTTTAACCCCAAACCAAGCATTTTCTCTTCCTCCTGGTCATGCTGTCTGTTGTTTCATGGATGGTGGTGTGGGCCTTTATGACATGGGAGCCAGAAAGTGGGATTTCCTTAGAGATTTGGTATGTCTTATCTCTGTCTTAGGAATGACAATTTTGCTTATATAGCTTTTTTTTTAACAGCAGAAAACAAATAGGAAAAAAAAAAGGAATAAAGTTTTTATAGGAATCTTAAACAAGTTTTATCATTAAAAAAGAGACTAAATTTGTTGTTAGCCAGTAAAGATTTAAGGGTGTTATGGTGGTGGTGATTGTTTTGCTTTTGTTTTAATTCTTTTAGCTAAAACTTTAGTTTAATTTCATCATCTCCATTGAAATATTACCTAAATGGCTTTCTATAATCCAGAATTAAGGTTCTAGTCAAATCTGAGAGAAAATAAAAGCCACTCAAGTGGTGAGGTCCCTCAGTTTAAAATGACAAAGACCAAATTAATATTTTTTTTTAAAGCAGAAATTCAAAACTGAATTTATCATATATTAGGTAAGCATCTTCACTGGTCTGTTGGTTATTCTTGACGATTTCTCTCTTTTCCTCTTTCCGTACTCCCTTTGCATTGAAAAATGTCAGTAATTTTCAGGTGTACTCCAGTATGTGTTTGAATAGAGGTTAATGTTCCGTGTTAATTTTTAATAGATTTTTTCTGTAAAGCACCTGAGGCTTAACAGTTTTTATATTATCTATTTTTCATGCGTATGTCAAGTTTAACGAGGACCATATCTGAGAAAACAAGCAGTTGAGATGCAAAACTTCTGAATGATTGAAGTTTAAACTTCAATAGAACAGACTGTTTTAGAATACAGAAAACTTGCCCTAATGCTAGTACATTTTTTTCAAATATAATCAACATACAGAGCTTTATTATTTCAGTCCGTTTATACCTGAAGAACAAAATTATTTCTGTTTTACAATTTATTTTTTCTTGCTTTTGTCTAGTGTTTTTTTTAGTGATATTCTTAGCAACTCATTTTCAACAGACAATGCTAATTCATCCCTGGCATTCCATCACCTTGTTGTTTTAAGGCAGAATGTTTCTGTTTTTAATAAAGATCTATGAAGGGAAGGAGTGTTATAGTCCAAGCTATTTTATGTCTTTTAATTTTTACTGATTAGCCATAACATATAGAGTATAATATGGTTTATTTTAGAGTTTGTTGTAGAGTTGGACTTCTGGAAGAAAAAAAAAAAGTAATAAAAATGGATTCAATATTTGTTTCATTTAAGGGACATGTTGAGACCATCTTTGATTGCAAATTCAAACCTGATAACCCTGATCTTCTTGCTACAGCTTCATTTGATGGCACAATAAAAGTTTGGGATATAAATACTTTAACAGCAGTTTACACATCTCCTGGTAATGAGGGGGTTATTTATTCCATTTCTTGGGCTCCAGGTAAGAATATTTTACTTTAGGTCTAAATGTTCTTTGAATTAGCATTGACTTGCAGCAATTTGTGTTATAAAAGTATTAGTTTTAGGTAGGAGGTTGTCTTAAAAGTTTATAAACATAACTGAAGTAATATCTGTAAAACTTGTAAAAAAAACTAGTGCTTCAGAACTCGTTGAAGCTCACCATTATAAGGACTGATCTCTGCCTTTCATACTGAGACTAGAGGAACAAAGCTCTGCAAAGTTTTTCTAGCACTGCATTACAGAGATGATGAGGCTTCCTATGCACAGTAGGCAAATGATTAAAGGAATTTAAATTCTATTTTATGCTGAAAAAGTGGAATATATGTGTTCAGTTCAATCTCATCCTTCTTCAGGTAGTATTCTAATCACTGAAGAGCTCCACTTTTACTTTTCTATTTTTTTTTCATTATTATTTTTGGGATAGGGAGTAGCTTTTCCACAAAGTGTCTACTCTTCCTTAGAGAAGCCACTGAAGTTGGTAGGAAATTTTCTTGTTAGAACTGTTTTGCAATCCATTTAGATGAACCTGAAAGTACATTTCTGATAAAGTTACTGATGTCAGTAGTTGATGATAAGAAGGCTTTCTTGTGATTTAATTCTTTGGACAGCAGATACAGTTGTTTGTTTTTTTTAATTCTAAATTCAGCTCAGTGCTTTGCTCTCCTATGATTCTAGTGGGAAGCTTAATGTAGTCTGTATAAGTGAAATGAGATGGCACTTTAAAAAAAAAAAAAAAAAAAAGACAAAATCTTACACCATGTTCCTCTTCACAGATAATTTTTTGTGCTACATGGAAATTATGACAATATCACATATGTTTTTCCATCTTTTGTGTTATTTTGTTCCGAAATTTAAATTCAGTTTAAATTCAGTATCTTGCATTAAGAGAATAGTTTGCTCATGATGATGAGGGGAAGAATGGGGGTGTTTTTGTATTCTAAATTATTAAAAAAGTAAACTTAAGCCAATAGAAAGTATGTCCTTAAACTTCTGCTCTTAACTTTGGCTCCTTACACTTCATTTTTGCCCACTCCAGACAAAACTTTTCTTGTTTCTTTCACATCCCATACTCCCAGCAATTTCCTCTCCACCTTGTACCATCATATTTCTCCATTCCTAAAATATAATCCAATGCATGCCACCATTTGGATTTGGTCTCAGAAGACCTTTAAACGTGGTGATACCTCTTTTTTTTTTTTTTTCCCCTGACTTTCTCCTATCTGAATCTCTTATCATTCTATGTATGTATGTTCTAAACAGCTTTCTAGACTCCTCCTGTATGGATTGCCTTTTCTGCCTCTGAAGTACAGTATAAAACAACAGTGGAAACTTACCTGTGTCATAGGGTTGTTTAGCAACATTACAGCTATACTGGCATAGATGATCATTGGGGTGGGGAGGAGCCAGTGGCTGTTGGATTAGGCCCAAGTTATGTGACCTGTAGCATTCTCCCTGATTTGTCTTTAGTATATATGGAACTTTAAAAGCAAATGTTCTACTTCAAGCTTGAAATATTGAGACTATATGTTTTTCAGTTTCAGTTGTATGCATAATGGACACGACTTTTTTGTCACCTTAGTTGCAAAGGTTTCAGCAGGCATTGAGAATACTTTTGCAACTATTCAACTTCTGGTTTGCCCTTTGTTCAAAATAGGAATGCAGAAACATAGGTCAGGCTTTTGCTGAAACTGTTATTTGAGACTTAATATCAAATGCTGGCCTTAAAGCATGGAAAAACTGCTGTTTTTGTGCATTGATGACTTCATATTATGTTTATTATGAGAGCTTATAAATGTCTTTTTTTAAAGGAGATCTGAACTGCATAGCAGGTGCAACATCCAGAAATGGTGGCTTCATCTGGGATGTCCCAAGAGGCAAAGTGATAACCCGATTCAGTGAGGTATGATGAGTCTGCTTCTCCTTTGTCTATTGAATATAAGTTAGTCATTCCTTCTAATGCCAATAAATGATGATCTGTCACGTGTTCTTAAAAGACGATATAACAAAAATGTGTAGAAAGATTGATATGGGTGCCAGCTTATCTCTGAGGCAGGTGAAGTTTTTCTTACTTCCTAGGAGTTAGATTTGTGACCTGAGAATGGTGAAGCACCAGAAGGTCTCCATCATTTTAAAATTGTTTCTGTAGCGATACATAGGAAAAGCAAAGACAATTTTTTCTTAAATGTGTATGGACATACAAACGTCAAAGCATAAAATGGTGAATTGACGTTCCATATTTTAAAATGTAAGCCCCCCCAAAAAATTTAATTCCCTGAAGTCTAGACCAAGAAGCTGCATTTTGCAGCACACTAGACAGTATGGTTTATTTGCAATCTTGCCTTGTATTACCTGTAATATGTGCAGGCTTTTACAAGTCCTGAAGTGGTACCATAAGTAGTTAGTGGCATAAAGAGCTATTTAATAATGTAGTATTCTGTACTATTTTGTATATTCTCAGTATATATATTCTAATATTATGTTAGACAGACATAGTTAACTGTGACAATATCTGCATTGGAGGAAAGGGGTGCTCTTTAAGAACACTGATATGGAGAAAAACCTTTTTTAATAAAATAAAGCAAGCAAATGAACAACAACAACAAAAACATTTAGAAGTTCTCAAGTTTTAACATGTAGAACATTGGAATGTGCTACTAAACATCTGTTCTCAAACACTGGTCCTGATGCGTACCCCAGTTAAGTCTTCACATACCACAATTATTCATTCCCACTAACATCATTATTAGAACAAGCAGCTAACCTTTATTCAGGCTTCAGATTCATATGAGTTGCTCATTCTTTGTCTCTTGGTTCCTGGAGAGTAGGACAGTTTTACGGTCTCTGTCCCTCTGTCCTCAGTCCCGGTTTTCTGGGAAAAATGGGCTGAAACCCATAGGAGAACAAAATAAAGCAGATGAGTCAATAGATAAGAGAAAAAGGGGTGAATTATTTCTTATTGATAGGTATTTTGCATTTTTTGAAGCATGGAAAGAATGGAATCTTCTGCATTGCCTGGAGTCATAAAGATTCCAAAAGAATAGCAACCTGCAGCGGTGATGGATTTTGGTGAGTGTTACTGGAAGAAAACAAAATAAATTAAAAAAAAAAAAAAAAACACCAAATGTACATCTCAAGTCAGTGAACTTTGGCAGCACCATCAGTGATTAATTTTAAAACCGTTCTCACTGGCCAAAATTTGGTGTATATAAATCTCCTGTATTGTTAGGCTATATTTTTCATGATTTTAAGAAAAAATAAAGGAATTGTATTCAAAAGGAGTAGTTTCACTTTGATACTGAAACCGATTACCGATTACTGATTACTGATTAGCCAAGAATATTCTTCTAGGTTTATTACCTGTAGGCATAGAGGACACTTATCAAAAAGCTATCCCTCTTGTCTTCCTTGTTTTGTTTTGTTGTTGTTTTTTTTTTTTTTTTAAAGTTTGTTATTTCAAGGACTAGAAATCACTATTGCAGAGCAAACTTAAATTTACAATTGTATTACTACAGGAGGATAATAGTTTATTTGCAAAAATGATCAAATGTCAAGCAAGAACATTGTTGTGTATATTTTTTCAGTACATTTTCAAACCTTTTTTTTTCCTTTTCTGCCCACATTCTTTAAATTCTTTCTGTATGCTTTTTTTTTTTTTTTTTAAGTTACTGCTATTTAGCTTATTTGTGTATAATCAAACTTGAGTTTTGGATAGCCTACTCAGAATGGTAGCTTTTTTCCTCCTAATATTCTATTGTGATTGGTTTCAGTATTATTCGAACCATCGATGGCAAGGTTCTTCACAAGTACAAACATCCAGCTGCAGTGTTTGGCTGTGATTGGAGTCAAAACAATAAGTGAGTAAAAATTAACCCTAATAATTGATACGTACTATTTAATTGGATTAATGCTATAAAGTAACACAAAATTATTGATTTTAGAATATGATACTTACTGTTATATTAGAGCACCGAAATTGTTTCTGTTTCACAGTAGGATGTCTATAGTAGCTCTGCATTTCCAGTAGTGTTCATTTCCAGTAGTGTTCATTGTCCGGTATTCTATTTTTTTGTGTAAGACAGTCTATTTAACTTCTAAAAAGGTTATCTTTGTACTATCAGGAAGAAAACATCTCTGGTTTTAATTCCATATAATGGCAAACCTATATGACCAGGTATGAGATAACCACTTTGTAAGGTTTGGGAGATACATAAACTGCAATGAAATAAGGCATGGGGATCTCTTAAGCTACTTTTGAACACCCTGGACATCCACTAGAGCACTGCATGTTACAAAGAGATACCAACTTCAACCCTGAAATGAATGTGATTATGTCAATGATATTGTGCCTGAGACAGTAAGTTTCAGTCCCTCGGGTGATATTTATTTCTACCAAAAACATAACAATGCAAAATAAGTACTTCTAGTTCTGGCAACCTGTACTGAACAGAATTACAGGTTAGAAATATGCTGTTAGATCCTTCTCAGAACTGAAGCTTAATGTAAGAAATTTAATATGGTTTTGATACATGTCTAATTATTGGTGGTTGTCCAATTCCGAGAACGCTTTGATAGTGATAAATATCTGTAAGTAGCTATAAGAAAATTTATGTCTAGATAAGTTGCAATTCTTCGAAGTAAAAAATTCCACATTAATATTATTAATAATATTAATAATACCACACATAATGTCATCAGAAGGAACCTAGTATGCCTCTACACTTTGGCAATAGTTGATAAATGTGTAGCTGAATAAGAGCCGTATTACAGCTCTTCAATTATTATATTATATGCTTAATTTGAAATCAACTCCCTGAAGATGAATCAAAACATAACTTGAAGTAACACACTATAATTTTAAATGTTTGTACATTATGTAATCTTAACAATTGATAAAAAGAAGCACTGAAAATATGTTGCAGCATTCTTCCTGAGTAACAAAAAATAATATTTGAAAAACTGAATCTATCAATATAAGGCTTATTTAAATATTTTTTCAAAGGATTGTTTGAGAATACCCCACATTCTACTATTTGGGTTTTGTTTAGTGATTTTTTCAATTACTTCCGATGACAAAGTAGTCATGCTGTTCTCTACATCTCTTCTGAATTTTCAGTTTTGTCAACTTGTTTCTTGGTGAGTTTCCTAATACATAGTTCGTTCCGATAGTGTCTATAAAGTTTCAAAAGAGAAGAGGAAAAAAACGTCTGTTTTAGGACTCACCCTCCTTGACTACTTGTTTCACTCACCCATACTTTATGGGAATTGTAGAAACCTATGTGTTAAGATAGTTACAGTCTGTGAGGGTCAATGTTTTTCTTTACTTGTTCTTCTCTGTGTATTTCAGTAAATTATAAAACATGTAGTACGTGATAAAAAACTGTATGTAAAAACAAATACAGACGTCATTACATAGACTAACCAAAGGATTACAAGAAGTTTAAGAGTTAATTTAGAATATGTCATTTGAGTGTGACAAGAACACACTTCTTTTCTTAGATAAATACACTAAAATGCAAGGAATACAGTTGTCAAATGATTTCTGAGTTATAAAATTGAGTTGTACTTGTCATACAGGAGATTAAGCAGCAAACTGAGGTTTCAGTGTATGTAATAATAGGAATGCATTTTTTTTCCTAATGCAACAGAAATAGCAACAAAAATAATTGTCTTCAGACTGTCTTTTTTATGCAGGTATGGACAATTTTGTGTTGAATTTTTAATATAAATTTTTACACCAGGATTTGAACTCAAGTTTGTGTTAAGGGAGAAGCATTGCAGGGGAATTTGGTAGCTGAAAGCTGACTTACACGTGCTGGCCATCGAGGCATGGAGAAGAGCAGATATTCAATAACAGGAAAGGGAGAGGTTAGATTGGCTTCCTTTTAATGACTGCTAAGCTGAATATTTAGGAGGCAACTGCAATATTTTGCAGATAATTGCTAATACCAACATGAGAATTTGTTGTCAAAACCAGTTATACGGTAGTTCAATCTACTAATACTTCTGTGCTGAGTTCTGAATACAGTATACTATTTTCAGAAATGCTTGGTCAGACTGTAGCGCAAATACTATTCCCTATTGTAACTAATGGATCTTGGTCTTGGTCTTTTTTTTTCTGATTTAATCTGAAATATGCTCATCAGTAGTGACATCATAAAGTAGGAGCAAAATAAGATACTTTAAAAGCAAATTGTAAAATATGCATCATACTTACTTTTAAACTCAAAACCCTTGAAAATACTTTTAATGATTCCAGGGACTGATTTTCCTGTTTTATTTTGCAGAGATATGATAGCTACTGGTTGTGAGGATAAAAATGTTCGTGTTTATTACTTGGCAACCAGCTCTGATCAGCCACTGAAAGTTTTTACAGGGCATACTGCAAAGGTGTTTCATGTACGATGGTCTCCTCTGAGAGAAGGAATCCTCTGCAGTGGCTCTGATGATGGGTGTGTATATCTGAACTATTAGGAAAATTTAAGATCTTTAGTTGCACTGTTTCTGGCACCTTAAAAAAACACTGAATAATGGTACAAATCTCTGTGTTGGTCAAATTAAATGTTGCTTTTCCGTTAGTTTAACGCAGTGTTTTGGCAGCAGAATAATTATCTAAATTTGTCACAACTGCTGTATCAATGCATTTTTCCAAATGCTTTCCCAACAGCAGAAAGTGCCTGATGCTTGTTAGTAACAGGAGTGAGGCAAGGATGATACTACATGCTTATCCTACATTTAAAGATACAGGTGCAAGCTTTGGTCTTGAAAGAGGAATTATTTGAAAATAAATATTCCTAGAAATAAATATTCTGAAGTTTGAAATGCTGGCTGGAGACAGTCTTATTTCAGATAGGTGGACATAAATCTTTTGATGGACATAAATCTTTTGTATCCTTTTTCAGTACTGTTCGAATATGGGATTATACGCAGGATGCTTGTATAAATATTCTTAGTGGACATACAGCTCCAGTACGGGGACTGATGTGGAATCCTGAAATTCCTTACCTTCTAATATCTGGCAGTTGGGACTATACAATTCGAGTTTGGGACACAAGAGATGGAACGTGTTTGGACACAGTTTATGATCATGGTGCAGATGTGTATGGTAATATTTTAAATATGTTTTATTTCTGTATTAAAATAAATTTTAATCAAACTGGCTTTTAGATAAACTTAATTATTTGACTATATTTTTAAATGCTCTCTCTACTAGGATTAACATGTCATCCTAGTCGTCCATTTACTATGGCTTCTTGCTCTCGGGACTCCACTGTGAGACTCTGGTCATTGACACCTCTTGTAAATCCTATACAAATAAATATCTTAGCAGATAGATGTTGGGATGAGGTTATTGGTAATATAGGTAAGTAAATTGCATATACAGTTTTTTTAATTTTCTGTATGTTACTATACTTAAGGAAAAAAAAAGTCTAAATCTTTGTGTTCGTTAGATCGTGCTGTGGAATCTGGTGCTCCTCCTTTGCTGTGTGGTAAAGTTTCCAGGGATATTAAGCAAGAAGTGGAAAAACTGACAGGAAATCCTCGAGGAAAGAAACTAAGATGGTTTTCAGAATGTTTTTCAGTAAGTATTCTACAAACTTAAGGATGTCAGTCAGGTTAAGGTTGTCAGTGTTCTTTACGCACTCTTCTAAAGTTAATCTCTAAAACAAAAGTAGCTTTCTCCTCTACCATTTTCTCTCTTAAAGGAAGTTCAAAAATACGCAGAAATCAGCTCTCTTAACAATTCTGCTTGTAAAACATCCATGACTGATTTGTCACTTGTGAACATCAAACTTTCATAAAGGAAGATAGGTGGAATAGCTTAATTTGTCATAGGAATAATTTGCTTTAATTAGAATCTTCCTTTGAAGAAAATGAAAAAAATACATTTTATGAAACTACATTGGACTTTTTTATTTTAATCCATTAAAGGAACACCTCCATTCTGGATGAGGTTTGAACTACCTGAGTGTCTGTGCCCGAACTGCTGGGAGATGTGGATCACTCATGCCCCAGTATCCGTCTAGTGATTTTGCTCCACTGCACAGTAACATTTCCTATAAATCATTACAGCCTTTTTGTGCAGTTCAGTTAAAATTATAAACTACTAGATACCTGTGAGTGCTTACCTACATGGGAGCTGAAATTGACATAGAAAAAGGGCAGAAGCGTCCTAGAAATTACAGTTTGTGTCAGACAGTTGTTATTTAAGTGAATGCCCATCTACAAAGATCAAACAAAAAATACAAAATATTTTCAGTATGTTCAAACAAATGTATGTTTTGATTTCTGGCTAAAGTTTAAGGTATAATTCAAAAATGTTGAAACACTTTTCCTCAATTACAAATCCTGAAATTTCCTGACTGTTTTATTAAAAATATTTTTAATGCAATTCTTTGTTTTACAGAAGTTACACATTTGGATGTCCTCCATTAATTCTTGAGTAAAGCTATTATGGAATATTAGAATTTTCTAACAACAAACTTTTTTGATCATCTCTGTGCAGTGCTTTTTAGAGTCCAGAAGCTAAGTGTTATGCTTACACTATTGTGAGTCAAATGACAGCTTTCATGGATTGAAAAAGGAAAATTGAAAAGAGAATAGTGATTTATTTTTTTTCTAGTACATTTCTCTGCTTTTTACCAGCTCAGAAATGACTGGGCTTCTAAACATGTATCCTGTTATTCTTAAAAAGCTCCTTCAGGTCAAAGTTGTAATATTTTTTCTTTTTATCCTTTTAATGACTCATTCATTTCTAGACTTCATTGAACGTTAAGCCATCATCCTTGTTTTACAGAGGGGAATATTCAAATATTAGACCTATATGAATGCTTAAAATTTCAACAACAAAAAATTTGCATTGAGGACCTGCAAAATTTTGTGTGTATACTATTATATGTGTCTATTTTAAGATTTTAGTATTGTAAACTGAATTGTGGCAGCTCAGACTTGAAGTTGTTTCTTTACCTCACCCATACCTTTGTTCTACAAAAGAGAGTAAACAACTATTTGGGTAGGTCTTGCACTCCAGCAGCTGAATGTTGTTTTATGCCTGCAGTAACCACCACGTAGCTAGTAAACACTTGGGAGCACAAGAGAGAGCTCTAATGATGAGCTCTCAGCTGTGGCCACACATAAGCAAGAACATGAATTCATGAATCCTAGTGTGTCTTTAAGTCTTTGAGAAAAACAAAGAGGTTGTAGTGTCTTGAACTGTCATGTCTTCATGGTAAAGCTTCTAATATTAAAATGGTCTGAAATTACATTTCTTGAAATTGACTGAGAAGTATTTTCAAGGTTTTTACAAGTTTAATTTCTCTTGAACATTACTGTAATTCAACTTTATTTTTTTCCCTAACAATTCTAGCCTCCAGGAGGCAGCAAAAATTTGTGGGATTTAGTTGCTGTAATAAAAGGACAGGATGATAGTCTGCTTCCACAGAACTACTGCAAAGGAATTATGCATATGAAACATCTCATTAGATTTAGAATGGTAAGTGAGTAGTAAACATTACCTGAAAATGGTTAATAATACACTCAGTATTTCACTCTTTAAAATTAGCACTTGATGCTTTACAAAAGGATCAGAACTTATCTCGTGCCTGAAGATATTTGTGTATTATCAGTTCTCTGTGCAATATTAATCTGTTAGAACAACGGCATCTAGGTGAGTCTGCATGACTTCATACATACTCAGTGTTAAAATGCTAGGCTACATATAGAGTACTTCCCTATTCAGTGAAATTAAATTCTTTGTATAAACACAAAAGTTTGTAGTTGTGTTCAGATGCAGGGGCAGGAATTCATGTCTGAAAATGGAGGAGAGGCAGCAGAGATATGCAAATATGCTCTGTGGCTCTCTGGAAGGAGGAGTGGAAAAGAAAGAACCTGTCATTAATAGAAATACACAGCTTAAGAGTGACTCTATTGTGAAATTCCAGAGCCAGGCCACAGAATTATTTGTAGTTGCATGTGTTGAATATGCAACCAGATGTACAATTTGTACAGAATATGGGGCTATGTGGTTCTTTCAGGGACTTCTCAGAGAAACTAATCAATCCTATGCTCTAATGACTGGAAATAGAGGAAATAGAGGAAAGCAATCTAGTGATATGGATTAGAACATGTTTAACTGTCCCCGCACAGGATTAAATACCTGCCAGGTATTACCTGATGTTTGCTGTCGTAGGTTGTCTCTTTTGCATAACTTACTAGACTCTTAAAGAATGACTGAAGGGATGGAAATTTTCTACTGGTGATATTGACTATAATTATAGCAATTACTTTGGTAATACTATGAGAGAGACAAAAGAAAAAACAAAAATAAAAACATGACAACCATTTATCTCAGCCAGCTAGCCTATGAAGAAGAAATTCATTCTTGATCCCTGCAGTTTAAGCAATCTCTTATCCATGTAACTGATGTTGTGAATTTATAATAGGTGAGTCAGAATAACAGCAGTAATTGCTGATTGCTCTGTGGTTAAATGTTCCCATCAATTAAAAGCATTTTGTTACCTTTTTGTCGATTTGGAATCCTGCTTAAGCCCAATAGGAGAAAGTAGGGATAAGGTAGTGCTGACATCCTCTGTATGTCTGCTAATATCTTTTTTTTGTTAGGAAACTGGGTGATGACATTGCAGCAACTAGACATTTCATGAGGAAGTAGAGGCCTAGAGCAAGTGTGCTTTTTGTTTTTTTTTGTATGTTTGTTTGTTTTCTTTTGTTTTTCTATTTCTAGCAACCAAAGTTGATTTATTAGTTTATTGGAAATTTTAACATAAAAATGACAAAGAAGATAAAGCTGCCAAATAAGAAAGTAATGTTGTTTGTTTAAAAAAGAAAAACAAACAAACAAAAAAGATGCTTTGCCTTTCTTAGCAGAAATTATTCTTTCTTTATTTGCAATTATTGTAAGAGTAATAAGTCATTTCCAGCTCTATGCTGGAATTTAATTTGCAGCTCCATTCATAAATATTTTCAAAAATACTGAGATTTTTATGGTGGACAACTGGGTGGCTTAGTGTTACATATGTGAAAATGTTTGAGAATGAAATGAAAATATGTAAAAGATGAAAGGAAGATAAGGAAAATGCATATGTGCATCAAAATACTAACAGTTGTTATAATGATATAAATAGTTCACTGTCATTTTACTGTAATCTCTTAGAATTAGTATTTTCTCAAAAGGATTCTTTCTTATATTATAGCTTTTATATTTTATTGTAATGCTTGATTAAAATTCATTCTTAAGAAAACTTGTTTTCATCACAGAAAACCAACTGGTGTACTCTTTAATTTTTTTTTTTATCAGTCCAAAGCACAAGAACTGACAACAGTAAAAATGTCCAAGTTTGGAGGTGGTATCGGTGCACCAAGCAAAGAGGAAAGGCTTAAAGAAGCTGCAGAAATACATTTAAGATTAGGACAAATTCAGCGATATTGTGAACTGATGGTAGAGCTTGGAGAGGTAAAATATCAGACCGTTATTGAAAACAATAAAATACAAAAGTTTATGAAAACCAGCTACCCAAGCAAAGCTTGTATAGGAACAAAAGGGATAATAAATCCAGAACTAATTGATTCAGATATATTGTTTTTAACATACACAGACTAATAAATAGCTAATTAATATTTTAAACCTTTTGATGAATTTATTGTAATGGAAGAAACATGAAATATAATTAAAAATACAGCTCTTTCCCAAAATAAACTGCTCAGATAAAATGTATTCCTGCTTTCTTCTAGTGGGACAAAGCTCTCTCAGTTGCACCTGGTGTATCGATGAAATACTGGAGGAAGTTAATGCAAAGGTAAAGTGATAAAAATACAGTGCTGAATTGTAAATTCTGTTCATAAAATGACGTAAGTAGGAAAGATATCTGTAGTACTTGGGTTCTCTGACAAGATTATAGTGATGTTATGTTTTGTTCAGTAAGGTTTGGGCTGGAACTGTAAGGGATTTCAACAATGATTTGGGGGTATGTAAATCAAGTTAAAATGTTAAACATAAATTACAAGTTTGACTGGAAAGTTATTATGCGGTAGAGAGCAGTATTCTTACAGCTTGGAAGTCTTCTAAGATCTGGTAAAGTAGATGTTTCAGTGAACTTGAACTTCATCTAACAACTGTACCATAAAGTTTGATGATCAATTTTATATGTAGATCTTTCTTGTTTGTTTATTCATTTGTTTAATTAGGAGAGCTGATCAGTTGATTCAGGAAGAAAATGATGATGTCATCCCATACTGTATAGCTATTGGAGATGTAAAGAAACTAGTTTCTTTCTTTACTTCAAGAGGCCAGCTTAAAGAGGCTCTGCTTGTTGTGCAGGTATTATTACATATACCAGTGTATGCAATAGCATTTATGTATTCATTTCTATTCTGAAGATGACAAGCATATTTAAAAGGCTAGCTCTGTTCACATTTGCAAAATGGCTAAATAATGAAACCCTACTCTTCACTTTCATTCTTTATTGGCCAGTTTTTACTCAGAAATTGTAAGAAGGTATCTCATGCTTACAGATTTTAAGTCTGATTCTTCTGAAGTGCAGTCAAACAACTATAATGAGAGCTGATATAGTTTTTTGTTAACGTAAAAAATTAACTTGATTTTATCAGTCGGAACTGCCCTTAACTTTTAAGGCATGTAGGATTTCTCTTGCATTTCTACGAAGGTCTTGCGTATACTGCTTCTTCTAGAATCTTCAGGTGAAACCATTCAATTACAGTAGAAATCAATATAGGAAATCAACAACGATTCTGTCTATGATTCTAACTTTTAAATGAATGCAAGAAAATAATAGTGTAACCTATTACCAAGAGGGACATGTCCCTTCTGCTTTCTAATGTAAGCACAAGTTAAAGGGTGCACAAAACATGCAAGACTGATATTTTGTTTCACTCTTTCTCCCTGTCATTTTATTCTTTTTTATTATTTTTCTTTGTCTGCTTAGTACAGCTTGTTAAATAAACTGTCAAGATATGTACCTGGCACGTTTTCTCATGCCTACCTGTTCTCAAGTGTTTAATTGGCTCATATCTAGGAACTTGAATAATAATGCACGTGAATTGGTCCCTTAGAAACTGTCTATCTGTATCTTGTTAAATTTAACAAGTTATAAATTGTGAACCTGAAAGCACCTTAACACTTTAAAAATATCTTCACTTAATTTTTGGAAGACAGGCATTACAGGGTTTGCTTTTATTACAATTAACAGAGTAGTCTTTGTCTCGAATGTTTTATCAGATAATATTAAGCAATAAAATCCCAGGACTTAATTACCATTTTAACTGAGCCTTGAATTTTAATGGCATTATACAAGCTGCACCTTAAAGGGCATGAAAGAATTTCATTTTTAAGCCACACTGGTCTCTTTTCACTTAACATTAGAAATAATGTATTTCAAGAAACAAAAGAGGTTTGTTTTATGCCACTATATAAACTTTCCAGATTGAATGGATTGGCTATGTGGCCATGCAGTTCATCCTTCACTCTAAGCCACTTTTTCCTAGGAGAGTAAAAATCAAGCTTGCAATCTTCACTGTCCATTTGAAGTTTATTGAAAAATTGGAAGAATCAAATGTGTAGGGAGGAAGAGGTCTCTTGCTTCTGTAGAATTTCTTGTATGGCTACATAAAAACAGGCTAAGATTTAGCTATGTATAGGTTTGTTGGTCTAAACATTTCCTTTGTTATAATTGGGCTTTAGAATTTTTACAGATCTCAAATTTATCTTTGAAAATAACATTTAATGTCAGTTTTGATTGGGACATTAATGAATCTCTCATTTTATTCACTTCTAGGCAGCTTGTGAGGGAAATATACAAATGTCACCACTCTCCACAACAACTGGATCTTCACATTCTGATTTAAACAATACAGATGATTATAATGAGTAAGCTTTTCTAATTTATAACTAAAGCTTCATTTTGGTGCAGTATATAATGTCATCAAGAAACATAAACCTTAGTGGTTTAATTTGGCAACAGCAATGTAGAATTTGACAACAAAATATTACATCTTCTAGTATTTAGTTAATAGGGAGACAGTTACAGCTGATGCTACAGTGTATAATTTCCCCACTTGCCCTTTCTAGTTGCATTTGTCATATGTATTATATAAATATTATATAAGTATTGTATAAGTATCTTTTTTTTTTCTTGATCTTTGAGGAGCTGCACTATTCCTATGCACTTAAATATTCTTAGATTTTTAGTTTTTTTACGTTAGAACTTTTGGGAAATGTAGAGTAAGACTTAGTATCTATAAGACCCTGTGTTTTATGCATCTTCGTCTGAAGGCTTCACTGGTTTTCATCAGTGAAGTTTCTAAAATTTACACTAATAGACTTATTTTCTTTGTGTGTGCTGACAAAGAAGCCACACATCTCTCCTTGTTAAGAACAACACTTAAAAACTTAAATCACATTGTCATGCTGTATGTATAGTAACAAAAACAGTTTGGAGCCTGTGTAGCTACTTCATTTACATGCACAGTTTTTGAGTAGTTGGAGTGATATTTATGTAGTCTTCCTGGGTAAAGAATAAATATCCAAACAGTTGATCTCTCTTCACTCAGTCTGAAGAGACATTTCAATGCTGGTGTGGATTTTGTGAAACTGACCCACCAATATATGTGCACCAATATAGGTGAATTCAGCTCAAACCAGCTACATTTTTGACTGTGTGTGGTGTCCTTATATGTAAGTCAAATATAAAAAATTTTAGGGTACATAAACAAATGTGACTTGTATCTAAATACAGAACCAAACAACTGCAACCCTAAAGTGATCTTGCTGAATTCATGTTTTGTTACTGCAGGCTCCTTCAAAAAGTCAGTAAAGAATTGGCAGAATGGTATTTCCAAGACGGTCATGCAGTGCTTGCAGCATGTTGCCATCTGGCTGTTGAAAATATAGAGGTAACATTGATTTTCTTATTACATCTCCACATATTGACACTTTTTTCAAATATGTGCCACATTCTAAATTCTACTAACTAAACTTATTTGCTCTGTATTTATTTATATTGATCCTTACAGTATTGAAGTTAGTGGCAGAACTCCCATGATTGAATTTAAAACAAGGTTTCTCTCATGCACAGAACATACGTTGTTGTTGTTTAATTGAATTTTAGTAAATAAAGTATTTTTCATATCAGAAAATATGCGGTACATAAGTACCTTATATATATACATAAGTATTATTGTTTACTGTTTATGCTGACTAAAAAGACCTACTCAGAATTAAAACTTCATTGTACTACAATGAATATAATGTCCATCAAATTTGCAATATAAATGAAGTAAATAGGGAAAAAAAAATCAGCCCAAAAATATGGCTGATGTGTGAGGAACATTATTTTTTTTGTTTGTAGTTTTACATATTATTTCTTTTCCTCATGGACTTTCCACTGGAATTTGTTGTTGTGGACCCAATACGTTCTTCCTTCTCTGTCCCCCCAAATGAGTAAAATTCCATCTTAATATGTTGTTGAGAGAAAGCAATAATCAGTTAATGCCTGTATTTCAAAACAGACACGTTTCAAGTTTTGTATAGTCTCTTACTGTTTAATATGCTATTATCCCTATCAGGTACTCCAGTTACCCAAAGAGAATATGAACAGGAGAGTCATTCCTGTTTTTTATATTCCCCATTTAATCAAAAGAGGGGGAAATACGTACTCTGAATACTACTGTCCTTACCTAGGACTAAAAGGAAACACTATCATGCTTGTTATGTATGACATTTAATCTCAATAAAGGAAGTTTCTGCTAAAGGAAATCTATTTGGTTATTTGAAAACTAGTACACATGGTACATCATGGTCTCATTCAAGAGGCCCAAATTTTATATAAAAGTTCCTTTAATTAATGCTTATTTTGTCCTGTAAAAGGCAGTTTCATGGATGAATGTCATATGCTCAATGCAGTGAATCCACAAAAATGCTTGTGTCCCTTAATGATGTAACTTTTTCATTGAGCAAGCTTGCGATGGCAAACCTGATTCGTGGAAATGAACTGGAGTTGGCAATCAGTGTGGGTACTGTCTTAGGAGAAAATGCAGCGCAAGCAACACATTATGCCCTAGAATTACTAGCAAGAAAGTGTATGACAGTAACAACATGGTAAGAACTTTTTTTAATCCAAAGAAGGTTTCTTTCTTTTTTTTTCCCCTGACAAAACAATTAAGGTGTTTCTCATTCTGATACTTATATATATGCCAGACCACTGTGGGTAGATAGATGTCTGCTTGAGTAAAAATTAAACTTATGAAGCATGGAGAATGCAAGTGTTCCACTTTAATCTCAAAATACATTATGTATGCATTGTAAGGGAGAGAAGAGTCCTTGTCATTTGGAGTACAAAATGTGCTGAAAAAGCTAGGTACGTACTTAGGCAATAACTAACATAGTAAGTCCTAGTCTGTACTCAGTAAGAATGACTGCTTCAGACAAAGTAAGGCTAGAATTGAATTATAAAGTTAATAAGCACAGAAGTTCAGGTAGGATTTGCAAAGTGATTTTAAGTACCTGCTTTACAATATAAAACCCTGAGAGGCTGACGTATTATTTTACATCTGTATTGGATATATAGGACAGCTGACAAGATCTAAAGATGAAACAGGTTTACTATTTAATTCCACAGGAGTAGGTAGTTTCTCTGCTGCACGTAGGGGAAACTTCATCCCTCTGTTAAACTTTCTCTTCTTCCTCATGGTTGTTTTACTTTGAAGTTTGTGTCTGTTTGTTGTCCACCAATGAAACAGAAAATCTTGCTATATTTGGAAGCTGTACAGTGTTTCAAAACTGACATTCAGTAAACAGCATGTGTTTAAACAGATACTGTAATCAAGACTCAGTTTTGCTGCTGAATTTGGTAGTTGCTCAAGCATCTGGGGGTAGCCTGAGAGAAATATAGTGGAACTCATTTCTACAGAGCATTTAGCCTAGAAAAAGAAGCAATGCAGAAAAGGATATAATAAGAAATGGATGTCTTGCTACTTTGGAATCGTAATGATTTAGCATGTCCACATTGCACCAAGTCTAACAGAATTGTTCCATCAACTCCATTTGCATCTTTTAAAGTCTCTGAAGCTGTTTCTCTGTTCTCCTTGCATTCATTGTGAAGATTATTTTTCACCTGCAGTGCTTCCTATTAAAGTGTATTTCACAATTGATGTATATATCCAGTTCCATAGTTAAAACTTGTTTTGATCTCAGTGCTATAAGAAACACTAGTAAAAGTACAGCCTTTACATGTAAGTATGTATATAAAATTTCTGCAAGCCTATGGCATGTCTACATCCCAGTCTATATAGGTACACGTAATAAAATTTTAAACTAGTCTGGTGTATGTTGCCCAAGTATACATCTGGATTTATCAGCATGTTCCATATGCTATACAGAGTATCTGTTACAGCTATACCATGCAATCCTTGATTCTGATTTGCAGCCATTACAGTGTATTCTTCCATTCTGTAGAAAAGATCAGAGATCTATATTTTGTAATAAAGAGATGCTAACAGCATAGTATAAGTATTCTTTAGTCATCGGCATGCATAAGATGATGAATGGTGAAGCTGGAGTTCGAGGGCATCTGGGCTATTCGTTGAAGGCCTTGCTTTTTCTTTATACTGATTATTATGCTTAGGGAAATCCACCAGTCAAAAGCGTTTCATTGCCGAGAAACAATTGTGTTAATTAACTTAATTAATTCCTCAGGGAATACCAGAAGGCCAATTGCTAATGAAATTAATTATTGATGGAATGTTTTTTAGAAAAGCACTAAAATATAAAATCCAAACAAAAAAAGTCAAAATCAAAGATGCATACCCTTCCCAACCAATCCAAGTCTGCAACCTTGGGGGAAAAAAAAAGTGGGCATTTGGGAAAAATGAGTGAACTTAATAAGACCGTTTTCATTTTATGTGTGTGTAGTGCCTAAATACTGCTAAAATGAACTTCGTTCTGCTATTTAGAAGGCTAGTGGCATTTCACTTGAAACACTGAATTTTGCATATCCTGACTCAGACACCTTATTTTGTTCTTGGGGCTAATTGTAATTTTTTTACAATCCAATTCTTAAAAAAACATTCCACATAACACAATTTTAAGCCATCATATGAGGTTTGTTCTGTGTGTTTTTTTTTTTGTAATAAACATTTGATTTCAGTTTTCAGCTGAGCAGTTTCTAGTCGCTTAAAAAATTACTACATTTGAAGTTGAGTACATGTGACTAACTGATCTTGAAAATAGTCAAAAATTTTGAAATATACTATATTCTGAAAGGCCCTTTCTGTATCTTAGAAAAGTGGCTATTGCATAATAGTAATAATAATAAGATAATACGTTTTCCAAAGACCTTTTGGCATTAGGTTTGTTAGGTTGTTAAAAGGCATTGGAAAGATTTCTTTTTTCTTAAACACAGTCAGCTAACCTGGCTATTAGATTTGCTTTTGTAGATGTTCTATTATATTTTTCTTCTGTATACAAAGTTAAGAATACAAAACAAAGTTTTATTCATTACTGTTTCAATGTCTTCCTTTTAGCTCTCCATCACTTGGATACAGGTATTATGCTTCTTTCTAGAAGGAGAGATTAGAAAAGTGTGTGACTTCACTAATGCTAAAAATAAATTTAAAATGTGTCCTCATTATTTAATCATAGATGGGAAGTGGGGTGGAAAGCAGATATTAGACAGCAACTTACACTTTTTAGCCAAGGACTGCATTCTGACAAGCCAGGGGAACTCAGTAGAAGATTTTGCCTTACACAGTGGCAAGTCAGTCTTGTGGGTCACAGGAGAAATGATGCCTGCATGAGTAGAAGAGACATAAAACAATACGAATAATTAATTATTTAAAGCCCAATATGATTTTTTAAAAAATAATTTGCTAGTATTTATGTGTGTTCTCTCCGGCTGCTTTTTGTGTAAAGTAGGATGGGGAAGTAAACAAATGGTAAGAAGTAGAGAATACTTCAGAAACATCAGTCTGCTAAAGCCCATTTTTTTGTGTTTAATCAGAAGTATGAAAATAGGTATCATTCTTTTTTTGTATAATCTTTTTTTATCACAGAAGCTGTAGCCATTCTGAATGACTGAAAGATGTTTTATACTGATGTCATGGTGTTCTAAAAGCCTTTTACCCTCAACTTCTGGCGGTTTGACTGAGGATATCGTTTAAGGACAGAGCCACACTACCATCTTTCTTTCAATGGGAGAGGTCCTGCTTTCCCTTCCAATCCCTGCTCATGTATTCTTCCATCTCACTTGGAGGTGGTTCTTACACTTGAGGATTGCAGAGTTGTTTAATTCAACCACCTAAAGCAACATTAAAAAAAAAATCTAGAAATTAAATTCTCAAAAAAGAAAAAAAAAATCGATTTTTGCAAGGTAGTGACCTGGATCTGCCTACCTTGTGATGATATGTGCATTAGAGAAATTGATGAGGGATGGGATGATGCCTTTGAAAACTGGAACAAAAAGATAAAAGAATGGAAGGGAAGTGGAGATCTAAGGGAAGGAAGAGGTAGAACCTCCTTCTTTAGGCCTTAGTAAGCTATTGATTGAAATCTTAAGCCTCATTTATTGTACCAAAAATAGACTCTTCTGATCTTATCTGGAAATAGCCCTTTTTTTTTTTTTTCTCTCCCAGTAAACTCATCTGTGTAGAAGGAATGTAAAGGGAAAACTGTTTCATTTTATTACAAACCATCAAGAATAACAACATGTTGTCTTTGTGTTTGTGCAGGGATTTGGCAGCCGATCTTCTTATGATGATTCCTGATAATAAACTGCATTTGGTAAAGCTATGTGCTTTTTATCCTGGATGCATAGCAGAAATAAATGACCTACATGAAAAGGTACAATGAGAAAGAATTTACCTGAATCCTAAAAAGAGATTTTGTAATGATTTCAGAACATATAATGCCAAATAAATTTAAGATGTTTTTTTCACTAACGTTCTTACATATGTTCAATATATTTTTTTCTCTTTCAGTCTTTATTGACTTTATTTTCAGTACAAGAACTTTAGTTCTTTAATTCTAGTGTGTACAGTATTTTCATGGTACAGGTTACTTCCAGAAGTAGCTTATGATCTTCATCATTTTTTGTCAGTAGGATTTATAACCTCATCACTGAAGTGCAGCCTAATCATGTTTTGGCAGATCACCTCTCTGTAGTACCCTGAATTGTTTTACATCTTGATGTCTGTAGTCTCCTTAAGCCCTGCCCTTCCCTTCCCCCCCCCTTCATCTTCAGCAGCAAAGGAGTCTGCTCCACTAACTCCCTCCCTTAAACTCAGGATGCACATCTTCAAAGGAATAGTAACAAATTCACAAAATCACTAACAAGTGAAGCCGATAGTTACAGAACCTTCTCCTTCAGCAGTGTCATCTCTACTCTAGATGGCTTTTTAATGCCTATTATATGGTGGTATGTCATTCAAACATTATCTTCAGAGAGTTTGATCTTAATGATATATAAAAGCTTCAGTATTTCTGTACATCTTAGATGGTTGTTTGAGTATTACAATAATTCGTTAGCAAAAACCTTGTTTTCTAGTGTAATCTTCCTGATGCAGAAGAATGTATGCGATTGGCAGAGACAACTGAGGCAGATGGAGATATATTTGAAACTATAAAGTACTATCTGTTAAGCACAGAACCAGAAAAGGCTCTCCCTATTGGCATTCAATATGTGAAAGGTACTTAAATGAAGAAACTTTTTTATGCATAAGTAATTTTGACAGCCTGCCTCTTTAGATATTTTTCTATTTCTATTATTTCTATTTCTATTTTTCAACAGAACAACTTCGTGGCTCAGATTGGACTTTAGATTCAGTCTGCCCATATCTTGACCTTCTAAGTTACATACGTACTGAACAATTAGTGTTGCATAAATGTAGCAAGTGAGTATGTTTTACCTGTTTTTAGAAGTGCAAGTTTAATTAAAGGAAACATTTGGAATAAAAAGCTATAGGTACACATTGTTAATGTATTTTTTGCTGACTAGAAGAGGGCTACAAAAAGATTGCAACAAGCAGGCCAATTCCCAGTATGGAGAATTGAATGTGGAATTCCTCCTAAATTTAGCAAGAAGGAAAAGTTATTTTTCTTCTTCTTTCTCTGTGAGGCATTTACAATGGGTGAGTCAAGGTTGACCGTATTTGAAGAAGCTCATTTGGATCACAACTTGTTTCCGTTTCCTGAAGAAAAGGAGTAGTGGTACCACATACAATATGGGTTTTTACGTCAAGGAAAAGTTGTTACTCTTAAAATTAACTCTGAAATATTTGGAGTGCTGTGGTTTGCCTTTCATAAAAAATGTGGTTGAAGCTAGGTGTTGGGGGTATCTGCACAAGTGTATGTGTGAAGAAAGGAGCAGAAAGCTTAACTCTTACCTCTGGTCTGTGGGGAAAATTGATGGTACTGAAAAACATACAAATATGTGAGACAATTTTATTTACATTTTTGAGTTTTATTACATTAAAATGTCTGAGTGCATTCTTTTCTCAGCTTTCTGTGATTGGGCTTATTAACTGTGTTATACTTGCTATTTAAAATGTAATAACTAAAATCAGTACACAGCAGATTAAATCTTTTTTTAATAATTACATCACACCACAAAGAAAGTAAACAGTCAGCTAACGTGTATTACCCATGAAAGATGGACTGATAAATTAGTTTTTAAAATCATATACTTGAATATGAGTGTAAAGTTTTTGCAAATGCTTGAAATCTTTATTGTTTATGATTAATACTTGTCCATTTATAGGTTTCGGAATGAGTTGTTGATTTTGTGTGGTTACATTGGTGCTTTACTTGCTATCAGAAGACAGTACAATAGCATTGTACCTGCACTTTATGAATATACAAGGTAATGTTAAATTTTCAATAACACTTAGAAATCTCAATCCCTATTATGATGTATGCCATAGATAGTCCACACTTCTCCCCCACAAAAAAATAATCTGAGGTCTCAGTTCTGTGAGTGGTGTATAGTGGTGAAGCCATGCCTGCTATGGAGCTTTCTTTATTATTTTTTTTGTGTGTGCATTATGTTAATAAAAGTTCTTGAGTTAGCACAAGTTGTGAATTCAGGATTTCACTCAAACTTGTAGTTCTTTATGAAGATATTGTTATTAGATTATCAGATTATTAGAAGTAGATGAATATTTAACATTGCCTCCATGCATGATTAGAACTGTAACTGTAAATATATAATTTTGTATCAGTGTAGACCACTTAGGAAGACTTGTTCAGTAATGACAAGGAAAAGCTGTGACTGTAGACCTCATGACTTGCTTGATTTCCTGCTAAAACACCTGTCTTGACCTTCCGGCACTTGCTAAGCTAATATCCCTATCTGCAAGCATTTCACTTTGCCTAGCCCACTGACTTGGCCCAGTCCAGCCTAGTTACTTGACTTGACCTGACTTACCTTTACCCACTTGATGTGACCTGGCCCATTTGACTTGATCTCACCAACTTGACCTGACCTGACTTGGCTTAACCTCATCCGCTTGGCCCAACCCATCTTGACCCTACCTGACCTGGTCCACTTGGTTCACTTGACCTGATCTGACTCCATGTGGCCTGACCTTATTCGACCCAATCCAACTTGACCGTACTTGACCCAACCTGGCTTGACCTACTTTAACTTGACTGACTTGACTCAATCAACTCACCTTGAAAGGAGAAAAAATAAGTTCTCTAATCTCTATTTTATCTGGTAAATAAAATAGGTTTATATACAATATTTTAGTATTCCTTCATCAAACTGTAACTATTATTTAGTCTTCCTCTCTGATTTGTAAGGACACTGCTGTCCAGATAAGTAATTTCATTTCTAGCATAACCTCTCACTCATAATTTGGCACCATCAGATCTTTTGGGTTTTGTCACCCATTTTGCTGTGTAGCAAAGCCATGTCCAAGATGTCACTGATTTTGTAGTGTGGTCTGCTTTGGCATTGCTCCAGCTAATACTGAGACACTACCTGCAGCTTTGCTAAAAATTACAGCTCATTTATAAATGTTGCATGTTGTCCAGTCTTTTTGAACCCTAAACTGTGAGCTTTCCTGATGTTTTATCATAATTTTCTACCAGCAATAAATAGCATAAATTTAACAGATCTTAAATCTGTGTATTTGCCCCGTTTCTTTGACTCCTCTCCATTATATTCTAGACAGCACTCCTTTCCTCTTAGCTACCATCATCCCTGACACCTGAGTGTGCAAACAGGAAAAGGAAACAGCACTGGTTTTATTTCTTTTATGAGCCACAGCTTTACATATTGGGGAAAAAAAAAAATACAAGTTTCTACAGAAGGGCCATTCTGATACAGAAACTAATAGGCTAGTAACAAACAGAGACTGTGATACTTTGACTGTCAAGCTTTAAGTTTTCTTGGGATTTAGAGAACCACTGAACAAAACTGCTCTTTTTTTTTTTTTTTTTCTCAGATTGGACAGTATTTTTGGGATTCATAGGTTTTTAGATTTCAGGCCATCTGCAACTGGATACTTGTATACATACATGCTTAAGCTGCACATTTTTAAGGCAGTCCAACAGAGATGGAAGCTTGCTGAATTAGGTCTGGTAGTAACTGTCACTTGTATTATATTTTAATTTAAAATAATAATAATAATAAATCCATTGGAAGTTTTTTGAAACTCTGTTTTCCACAGGTAATCAGATAAAACAAGGCTATCGCAGAGCATGTATTAAACCACCATCATTGTAACCATATTTTTATCACATATTTTTGTGCCCTTACTTCTAGTAAACTTGTCATAAGAAAATAAAAGCCTTAAAATATAGAGCCCTTAAAGAAAAACAAACAAACAAAAAAACAGATAATTGAAGAGAAGCTTAATGAAAAAAGTATACTTTTTCTAGCATACTAGAATATCTGGTAATTTACTATTTCTGTGGGTTTATATTGATGATTATTATGAAGGATCAAATGCTAAAGTTACATCAAAATATTTTGATATTACTATTGTCTATCTTATTTTTCTTTCAAGAAAATATTAATTGTTAGAATTAATTGGGAATTTAATTATTTTCTTCCTTTTCAGTCAGCTTTTAAAAAGACGAGAAGTATCTGTACCTTTGAAAATTGAACAGCTCACGGAGGAATTAGATGCATGGCGAGCTTGTACTCAGTTAAGCAAGTAGGTGCAAAGTATGAAATTAGCATGAATGAGACTGCTGGCATTTAAATGTTTATTTGTAAATACAGTATTTATCCCTTTGTAAAATTTTAACCTGAATGTAAAAAATTGCTATTGTGTGGACGTTAATTTCTAACGCATAACGTATAATGGTTGAAAAATAAATGTCTTTTGTTCATAGGCCAACGGATGAATTGCCATGCACCCCACCATCTGAATCACAAAAAATGGTGTATTCAATACTGGTATCGCGAATACAAGAGGAGCCTCTGAAAGGAATGGTTGGGCCAGACTATGTCACTGGATCAAATCTTCCTAGTCATTCTGATGTTCACATCTCTTGTTTGACGGGGCTAAGGATACAGGTACAGTTTCAGAGAGCCAAGGTATTCTGTCTTGGTGATAGTGTTGGCTAGTTGTGAAGTTACCGTAAGTCTAATGTCTAGCCCATCGTAGGAGGAAGAATCTTTTTCTTGTTGTCAGAGTAGCACTTGTCCTAAAGAGGACAAGTGCTGAGATCTGCTGTGTTAGAAAAGCTATATAAAGAATTGTCCAAACAAATGATTGCCCAATTTCCCAAACCAAAACTTTTAAATTTCCATGGGAAAGACAAATTTATTTTGCCAAATGTTCTTTTTAAAGTGCTTTCAACTTATTAACTCCTACCTCACAGCACTTTAAATTTTAAAAAAAATGTATCCTGTTTTTCTGTTTTCAACAACATACTGACATTATTCTATTGTTAGAATTAATCGTTATGGAAATGCATAATATAAAACTTAAAATTCATTAATTAAAGCCAAATATTAGAAAAGTAAATATTCAAGTATATTTATTTTTCACTTGCATAGGGCTTTATGATCAAAATGTTCTAGTCCTTTTAATGCTTCTTTGGTATATGTTATTATTTTCACAAAGGGGAAATTGACAGGGCCTGAAAACACTACTCAAAGGCTTCTTTCTCCAAGCACTGCTTCAATGCCAAATTACTCTCTTGTATGAGGTTATTTCCACTGTCCAGTGCAAGATGCCAGCCCAAAGAATGAGAGGGTTGTTGAAGGATTAAGAGGGATGGTTTTGTATCAGAAATTGGAGATCACAAAATGCTAGTGAGGTCCTTGAGGTAAACAGAATTACAAACTGAGCATCCTCAAGTCTAAAAGATTTGCTGCCAACACCTCAACGTTAGAACATAGTCTTTGCTATGTCTCAGAGGAAAATACATGCCACATGTTAGTTGCTGTTAACAGCCACAGAAAGATGTCATTGTTATAATCCATTTGACAAGAATAGCAATAGCAAATATCACCAGTTTGTCGTCTACAATATCCTAATCTCTGGATTAGCTAATATTAGGAGTTACTGCTTTAGGCATGCAGATCAGATCACAATTCATTGAGTTAATACTAAGGTATAATAACCTAATTGCTTGGTTTTACAGTTTTAAGTGGTAAATTCAGAGAAGAAGGCTCTTAAAACTAAATTGCAGCTTTGACAGTGTATTTTATCAGATGAGGAAATTAGCAGATAGCTCTTCTCCCAACAGATAAATTGGTGTTTTGTCCTTCATGTTTTTCATAGCGAACAGTTGAAATTTTCCTGTAGACTGCATATAGCCTCCGTGTAGGTGTTATATATATATGTGTGTGTATATATATATATATTATATATATACAAAGTAATATTTATTTTAATTATATTATCATATTATAAATATAAATAAAATAATATTTAAAATAATATAAATATATTCATATTTATGTAGTTTTAGGATGAAGAAACCCAAAGATCACCACAGATAATTACAGTGAAATATGTACGATATTCTGAAGGGAAAAAAAAAATCTTAGCTCAGACTCTTACTCTACAGTTACATTTTGCCTGAATTACTGGCAAACATATAGAACACAACAATTATAAAAAGAAAAAAATAGAAAGATTACAAAATGTTGGGTCTCCAGATTTTAGAAGATAACCAGTTTACTTAACAGTTGTGCATTACAAATTCAGTATCAAAGCTTTGAGTTGACTAGGTACTATTTTTGCATAAATTTAGGTGACAGATGTAAATCTGATTTTTACATGCTTCTCAGATGTAACAAAATGTGTTGGTAATTCTGGTAGTCTTTACTCAATACTTGTGTACTTTGTTTTTCTTTCCCTCTCCAAACATTTTTGCTGTACAGGGTCCAGTGTTCTTCCTTGAAGATGGAAAATCTGCTATTTCACTGAATGATGCTTTGATGTGGGCCAAAGTGAATCCTTTTTCACCACTAGGAACAGGAATACGACTTAACCCATTTTGATGCGGTGTTTTCCTCTGTTCTTTGTAGTGCTTAGAATAACAGTTTGGGGGTTAATAGCAATTTAACCTTGCTTGTCAAAGGACAGAAAGATGGCAGTTGATCCATCCTGAAAGGCAATTACTTGGACTTTGAAAACTGTAATATGAGAACAAGAAAATGATTTCTATATAAATGTTTGTTGATAATCCAAAGAAAAATTTGAGAATCCAAAGAGAAAAAGTCCTAACTTAATTGACAGCCATGCCTTTTTTTTAAAGAACTGTTGTCAGACAATGCAGACACATTTCTGTTAAATTTGTGTAAACAAATGCCTTGTAAAGCAAGTAGGCAACTATCTGCACATTATCAAAATACAGATAACAAACTGTGAAATTCATAAACACACTTTTAAATACATAGTGACTTTATGGATAGCCACTGCAACCCATTTTTAGAATGACTGAAATCCTGCAGCTGATTAACACATTGTGTCCCCCTTTTAAATTTTAACTAGTTTTTACATACAGAATTCTATAGCAAAAGTAATATTTCAAGTGCTTAGATGACTTTTTCATCCATTATTATGTGCTTTAATAGTAATACAAATATGTTTATTAATATTTTGGTTAGATAGGTTTGAATATCTACATTATAATACTCTATTTTCTAGTAAGTTAGTCTTCGGCAACTGTCCCCATTATAGTTTCCTAACCAGAAACTAAAATGTATAGAAACATTTTTTTTTAAAAAAAGAGGGTTTGTAAGGGACAAACAGCACATGTATTGAAATTATTTAAATACATTATATACATTTAAAATGTTTTCTTTTTACATTTTATATTAGTTTTAAATACACGTATGGTATGATGGACCAGAAACAAATACTTGTGCATATATTTTTATTTACTAATGCTGTGCTCAAATGGGAAGAAAAATATGTCAATAGAATACAATGAATATTTAAATTTTAAAGATGTATATAGTATGGAATTTAATTATAGGAGAAATCTTATAATTGGAATTATTCACCTGTAGAAAAGATGCCTTGGTTCTTTTCAGCTTGATGGCCCACAGTCAGAAATCTACCTAACCCGTTGTTACATTTTTTGCTGCCACTTTAAAATAAATTTTAAAATCCCGCTAGTTATATGAAATATAAAGAAGTTATATTTAGAATTCGTCAGAATTATTTCTAGAGCAACTCCGGTAAAATCAGAAGTAACACAAGGTCTTTTTAACATACCTTATCCAAGACAACCTTCAATGGGTCAGTAAACAATGCCCTCATCTAAATAGAAGTAACAATGCCCCAATGCCAGAAAGGTGGGATGGAGATCAATCTTTTTTTTTCCAGTTATCAGTTAAGATTTATCAGTTAAGATTTCATTCTGTCTGTTTTAGAGTATTATTACAGGATTTCTGGTATAAGATTATGTTGGAAAAAATCATAGCTGCTTTGTAATCTATACAAAAAAATTTCTGTACATACCTAGGTGTTAGAAAAATTTTTCACTTTTTGCAGGTATTGTTTGGGAGATGTTTTCCTTTGTCCAACCCTGTGGAGCTTGGGGAATTAGAGTTGGATTTCAGAAATAAAAATTCATAGTTTGTGAAATAATTTTCCAGCAGTCAATAGCTGATGGGTTGCTTGAAAGACTAGTTATCTTTTAGTACACGCAAGATTGTGTAATTTAATACAAAATCTATTACACACAAGATTGTGTAATTTAATACAAAACTGGAGAGCACAGGTAAGAACTGAATGTGCAAACCTATGTCTGATGATAGGATCTGAAAGATTGACTGAACTGCCACTCAGCTCTATTTCAAAACTTATGCTGTGTCTTAAGGATTTTTACGAATACATCATAGTTCAAATATCTTAGAACACGTAGTATTACTGCATCAATTATTGTGCCTAAGTTGTGCCTTAACATGGAATCTTAGACAAATTTACTCCCTCTTTAAACTAGAGAGTGAGGGTTAATAATTGTTGAAATACATTGTTGAAATACAAAAAATAAGTCAAAGGGCACTTTTTATATTGGGATCCATCAGGTAACAGTCATTGTGAATAAAATGAGGTTGCATTTTCTTTAACATAATTGTACCCCATCTGGTGAGTGAGGGGAACATGCAAAAAAAAAAAAAAAATTAAGTGTGTCTGCTGCTAAAACTGTGGTTGCAACTGTCAAAACATAGCTATGTTATTTTCAAAAAGAATTTCAGGTTGTTTGTTAATGTGTGACTTCATTGTCCAGCACAGCTAGTCAAATACAAGTATTTTCCTTTAATATTAAAGAATCCTTTGTCTTCAAACAATTGTTTGACTCTTCTGTAAAAATCAGTATTTCTGTTTGAATGAAGAAATTTAGCAAGCAATTTTATTTAGAAGCTTTTTAAAGCATTTCTTTAAAAGAAATTTAGAAGCAATTTACTAAGTACTTCCTAGTTACTATAAATCTCAGTATACCTAAGGTAAGATTTTTTTCCATGATTGTATCCCTATAAAATCATTGTTCTATTGAAAGAATCTGATCACTGTTATGATGTGTCTGTAAGCTTCATAGGCTGTAGCCAAAGGTGAGATCCTCAGAACAGAACAGCCTCCTAGGTGGGTTCCAAAACGATAAAAAAAAAGTGTCAAACTATGAACCTTTCCCATTGCAAACACTGCCTTTAAAAATTAGATATGACACTTTAAATCCATCTTGTTGAACTCTTCAATGGGAAAAAAATATTAAGTCCCAAATGGGAATAATTTAAGATTACACTAATGCAAGAAACTGCCTTCATTCTTTCCAGAGAAAACAAAAGTAAACTACAAAGTCTAGAGACCTGTTTTTTCAGACTGGGTATTAGTATTTTTAAAATTTGAAGCTTTTATGTTTATATAGAAAAGAAATAAAATCCAGAATTAACTTTGCTTTAGGTAAAAGTACTAGACCAACAGGAGGCAAAATAAAGGTTTTTGTTTGTTTGTTTGTTTTTAAAAATCATTTGTGAAGATCTTGTCTTCATGTCTTCCTATCTTTGTATACTTCCATGTAGTAGTTCTGATGGGTTCTGATCTTTTATCAATATCTTCTGTATCAGAAACTTATACTGATAAATATCAACTCTAATGAAGCTGAAAAGGAGGCTAGGCACTATTATAGAAACAAGTAAATTAAACTATTTTTAAAATAAATAATAAGAAAAGCTGTATTGTAGAATGTGACTACTATTAAACCAGCTTTTTCAATTTATTTGGCTTAAAATGGAATTGTTCCCTAACAGGCAGTAAACTGAGATTTCTCTTTGTTGATTATACAGTCAACAGAACTGTAATTGGAATAAGGTTTGTGTTTCAAAGTTCCACATCTCTCTGGTTAATCTGTTCAGTGGTATCCTGGAAGGTGCTAAATAACGATCATAACAGAGGATCTGTCAGCTTGTTGCTCTTGGAGTTCTTCATAATGCACGTCTGTTTTGTCTGTCTTTCCTGAGGAATCTAGAAGTGATTCAGAAAAAAATGTAAAATTACTTTTTTTTAAAAAGGAGGGGGTGTGAAGATTAGAAATATTAAAATGCCATAATTTAAAGGTCAAAGCATTGTTTTAATCAGATTTAAATGTAGCGTACAAACTTATGGTTAAGCTTTTAAAGAAGGCTTCATTTTCCCCTGTGAAGGCACCATTTTAGCCCTACAGATGAGGTCGAAGCTCTACTATTTTCTGAGGGTATGTTTGTTTAAATCAATACAGACTATCCTTGATGGGAAAATGGAAGAACGTATACAAACAAGCTGTAAACTGATCAGTCAGCTCAATTTGTGACTATTGTTATCAGTGCCCAAAACAGCCCAACAAGATGACATCTGTGTGCCTAGGCCCATCATGTGGTTCAGCGTACCTACACACCAGGCTTAGTAATTTGCTACAGAGCTGACTATGCTGATTCAGTTCCCACTTCTCCAGGACTAAATTCTACAGTTCCCTATGCAGGCAAGCTTATTGCTTAAGTAAGGACCACATCTACCCATTCACACGTTCAACAAATTGAAGATCTCCATTATGTAACGAGCAGAAAAAAAAATATTTCAGTATGGTGAATGTATTCAAAATAAAGTTCTGAGGAAAGTAAGAGAAGCACTTTTGAATGTCAGAATAATTTCTGCAGTTGCAAGACCAGAGAAAACCTTGAAGCAATTTTATGTTAAAAGAAAAAAAAAATAATACCCAACCCCTCTAAGCTTTCTGTTTTCTAAGAAATTGTAGCTGACTTCTTCCAAGTTTTTAAACATGGAATCTCTTGGTTGCCTGTATAGCTAAAGTACACCAAAACCACCCAACATTATAATCTGAAAAGATTAAATTGAGATCTTAAATGATGTGAGAAAAAAACTTACATGATGGAGCAAATGCTTTTTCCTTTGGGATACTAGCTATGTTTGTAGAGGACGTTGTGCAATTAAGATGGTAAACTGTATGATGTCTGAAACTTCGTTTAATGTTAAACCGTCCTTTAAAGCAAAAATCGCAAGTTGTTCATTTCAGCAGTATGTCAAGCACTTAGTTATCAATCCCCCAATTTAGTTGTAAACAGTTACTGTCCCCCACTTGACTTAAACACCCAGACAACCATGGCAGCTGTATAAAAATAAAATAAACCCTCTAAAGAGAAGGGGAATTATTAAACAGGTTGTATAGTAAAAATTCCCTGTATCTTCTTTTCAAGCATAGTATTTTTCATATGTTTAAAAAAATAAAATTAACTTAAGCATTTTGGGACACAATATGCATGAGTTCATAAATTAGCATGAGATAAAATGTTGAGATTGCACAGGTATGTCTTGAAACCACACATTCTGAATTTCAACAATTTCAAAATATTTCAAGAGTATAATCATTAAGTCAGTGTAGTTAAGCATACTACTTAGAAAAGTAGGTCCTCTACTGGATAAAACAAAAAACAACAGGAAAAAAAAACAAAAAAAACAGAAAACTTATATACATCCTGATGTGGATCCAGAACAAATTACTTGTTTGTTGTCTGTTGATCAGAATACTGAAGCTTCTTCAAAAACATTAAAGATTAATTTAGAAGAAATGCTACTTGAAATGTGATTTCTGATTTCTGTCTGCATAAGCTTTGTTTACTCCTGCAACTACCATTGATATCAAGAATCTGGAAGAACTCTCAGAACTCATACTCCCAGTACATGCAATGCACAAAACAGAAAAAAATTAGAAGAGACCTCAGCCCTGGTCTATGGCATAGAAGAGACAAATCCTGTAATGTTAGGCTCAGATTTGGTGCCAGCATTTTCAGAAGGGTACTAAAAATTCACAGAAGTGTAGAAAAAGGCTTCAATATGAGAACAAACCACAGAACTCAATCTAAGTTGTGAAACGCCATAGGCATAGGCTTGATATTTTTTAATTGATACAGAGCATCTTTGACCAAAGGAGGTTGAACTACATAGCCTGATGATCTCTTCAAACCTCTGTATGGGTGAACTGGTTGTGATGAGACTGATCCATGACTGATGTATGTGCAAACATCTGCAAGACTGAGTTTTTTGAAGGTCTTATCCTTTGTCTTGCAGAAGAGAAGAGCAATAAACATTACAATGAATAGAATTATAATAATTGATTTTTAAAATGTTTTTGCACTGTTGAATGTTGAAGATCATTTGATAATGCCAGTGAAAGGCAATAACTGGTCTGATTCCTTATCCAGTAAGTCAAATTAACCTAATAAACAAAAGGAGGAAATAATCAGCTGTTATATTATCCTTTCACATCATCTTATAGCTGAAGAAACCCAATTCTTTTCCACTTCACATACATATGTGCACCAGCCTTCTAACCACCATGGTGGCCCTTCCTGGACTGACTCCAGAATGATAACCTGTGTTTTGTACTGGGTGGTCCAAAACTGAGGACAGTACCCCACATGCAGTCTCTTAAGTGCCATAAAGGTGCTAAAAATCAATTCCCAAATGACTGACATATTGATCTGTTACTAGCAACCCAAGATGCTGCTGGCCTCCACTGCTGCAAAGGCACTATTCAACTTGTCCACCAGGAACCATTCTTTGCAAAGCTCCTCTTTAAGCAGCTGCCTGCAGCCCGTAGCAGTGCACAGCTTACTCCATTCCCATGGCCGGACTTTGTGATAAGCATCACATCCTGTCAGCCCATTTCTCCAGCCTGCTGTGGTCTTTCAACCTGAAGGGACCTTCATCCAGCATGAATGTCCCCCACTTGCTATGAGTGCCCTCCATCACACCATCCAAGTCAGTAATACAGACGTTAGGCAGTGCTAGCCCAAAAAGTGATATCTGAGGCAAGTCACTCATAAGAGGCCATCATCCAGACTTCATCTAGACTTTGTCTACAACCAGTTCCTTGAATCTGACACTCCAGCCAATTTTCCATCCACCTTGTCATCCACTTTTCCACTCTATGTCTCAGTAATTTGACATTGACTGCAGGTCTTGGCTAAAGGCAAGATATACAACATCCACTGCTATCCCCGTGAACCCAGAGCTGTCTATTTCTTCAAAGACTAACAATGTTAAGTTACAGCATCTCTGGATGTTCCTTCAACAAAGAAGGGTGAAGAACTCTGCAGCTTCTTTCAGTAATATGAAGTATCAGAGGTAAGTACTAATTGTGTTAATGGTGGAAGTGTTATTAAAATTAACTTTGACTCCAATAATATAACACTGATATACTACCCAAGGAACGTTGAATGCAGCCACACAGTGGTCATCAACCATGAAACTTCAGAAAAAATTCAAAGATTGTACTCCCAACGCATCACATCTAAAGGTTCTCACAGTACTCCCCAGCCACACTGAGGCAAGCAAGACAAAGACAACCAAAGCAGGCCAGCTACTTGCTGCCTTCAGCTGCTGTTCAGAAATTTCGAGCTGCAGCTATGGGAAAATGTGGCCGTCCCAAGCTCTGGTCCTGCTTCAGGAAAATAAAAAACAAGAGAAACACTCACGTGGATCCTCTTCCCTCTCTTGCATTCTCATTCTCATGTGCATATTAATGACGGCATTAGCCTTCTGTCTATTTATGGTAACACTGGGTTCCATCATTATTTCTGTCAGCCTAATGTTATTCTTGATAGCCTTGGAAGCTGTTGATCTGGCAACCATTGGTAACTGTGTCTGGTAACAGTAGTCTGTAAAATCAATCTCCCTGTCTTGAAGGCTTTTAATACTGCGGGGAGAAAAAAAAAAAAAGTGTTTGGGAATTAATTACAGCAAGAAATGGCTAAATATTAGTTTTTGCAGTTCTATAATGTATGTTATTTTCATT